TTTGGTTTAATTGGCTATCATTTTGTCAACCTATCTTGAATGGATCATTGCATAGTTGTCACCTTACTTTGTTGGGATATATACCAATATCTACTTCCTATTATGTTTAAGGGATTATTCCGTAACTAGTGATTGATGTTTAGTGCCTATGATTGCTTTTGATATTCCTGGCTATTCCGTAATAACTTGTGTATGTCATAAATCTTCAAAGCTTTTTAGTTTTTTAGGTCCTGGTTAAAGTTTTTGGACGTTATCCTCTATCTTTGCATTGCTTCTTAATCTGCTTTTCTAGATGTGATAAAAGATTGTTTTATTAATTTCCCTGCAGTTTTTCTCTAATTTTTTTTTCCTTTTGTTATTCTATATTGTGATTGTTGTTGACTGGTTGTCATAAGATAAAAGCATCTGCAACTTTAAAATATCCAGTTTTTTAGCTATTCACGCTTAGTCCCCCAGCTTCAAGAAATTCATCCTAAAAGCTGGAAATAATGGGTTTGGAGATTTAGGGCTCTTGGAATAATAATCAATGGTTTCCCCTGTTTGTGGATATAGACAAGGAATGAAAAGAGCTTTTTGGTTACTTTAAGTGAAGGAATAGAATTTTAGGCTAAAGAGTGGAAACAATTATGGGATATATTTTAATTATTCTATGAATAGTTCTAAGGGAGATTGAAATCGTAGTCCTCTTTATTTTCTTAGTCTTAAATTTAAAACAGAGGAAACCCCTTTATATTAAGATTGATTTTGGTGGTAATGATGGGGCTGTAGACATGTGCTTGAATACTGGTGGTTAATGGTTATGTTGCTTTTGTGGAGAGATTTGCATGCGATGACATTGGTGGAGCAACAGTTGCTCCAGATGTAGTTATAATGTGGTTATTGGGTAGGCAGTGGAAGTGGAGCAGTGATCAGGATTATTTTCCCCGAATATATTAGGCAGAGTGGAAAAAAGGAATGAAAAAAAAAAATCTGTAAAGGAAAACTCGCAGAAAGGAGACAGGGCTTTAGATCTTCAACTATCCTTGTCCAAACAACCCTTAATATTTTGAATGAATTGCACTAGAAACTTTTTGATAAAACTAGAGTACTCAATAACATTGAAGCCAAAATGGATGTGGCTTGATCTTTATGCCTGAAGAGTAGCCATTTTATCTTTGCCTTGGATCTAAAATTTTGTTCATAAATTTTTCAAATGCATTCTTGTTCAGACCACAATTTTTTATAATTCTTCAGTGATTTTCACATACAGATCCAGAAAATCTGCTTTAGCTGCATTGGGAACTGGAGACAAGAAATTAGCTCTGAGGATTTCAAGGCAATTGAAGCTAGCTTCTGAGAGTAGAGAAAAACTCACACCATTCATCAACAGAGTGGAGGAAGTACTCCGAGCTATTACAGATGCAGAATCTGCAAAGAAGGTCCTTTTTATTTACTTTGTCAATTTTTAGGTGACTTAAGTTTGGAACTCACTTCAATCATACGAAGTATATACGAAGTATATTAGTGATTATGATATTGTCCTTTTCAGGTGTCTGAAGCTATCCAGCTTGGTTCTTGGGCTCTCAAGGAGAACAGAGTGGAAGTCGAAAAAGTTCAATTGTGTCTGCAAGAACTTGATGACTTCAAAGATTCTCAAGAAAACATCCACAATATCCTAGGTGACTGGATCACTGAACTCCTAAAGTTGAATATTATTCTAATAATGATCTTTATGAGTGACTGATAGCAAGATTGTGAGTAGTTACTTGGACATAATGTCAATTGTGCTGATTCTAGATCTGATGTCTCTTGTTTCAGAATCAACATCATATACAGCTGTGGAGGATGAAGATATCGAGGAGGAGCTAAAGAAGCTTGAGTCACAAATTAGAGATGAAAACCTTGAGGTTTCTACATCTAAATCTGAGGATGATGCAATAAGAAATTCAGGGGTTTCAGTTACCCCAGATTCATTGTGTGCTGCCATTGCAGATCTTAAGCTTGAAAGTCAGACTGAAGACCCTATTGACAGTTCAGGAACCTCAAGGAACCATACAAGTCATCAGCTTGAAGCTGCATAGCTGAAGTTGGTTAATGCTGAATCCTTAACGTAACCTGAGTTCCTTTTTACTGCTGAATATACTGTGTGTATCCCTCTGAAGAATTTTCAAACTCAATATGACTATACCTGTAAAAAAAAAAAAAAAAAAAAAAGGTGCAACCCCCAATCACCACTGAGGTTTAAGACCGTCATCTACAGCAGGTCCTTGCAGAGTATATCTCCATAGCCTCTGCCCATATATTATATATATGATCTTCTGTGTGGGCCTTAAACCTTGAGCTGAAGTGGTTGAGTGTTTCGCAATTTATGTTAATGTTGGGATGAGATTCAAGCATAAGCATTGAGGAGTTAAGACTGTATTACGATCACAGTTTATTCAAAGTTGGTTCCTCTTGCTGTGTAATTATAGTTCTCTGGTTATTGGACCGGTCGTCTATGGTTGCAAGTTTACTGAACAGGTTTGGTAATTCTTACGGTCTTACCTCCTTTCCTCGTTCATTTCTGATGGCATTGCTGAAATATGTAGACTGAAGATTGTGAAAAGATTAAGCAGGACGACCTTTTAGAACAGGGGGATATAAAGTTATTTTTTCGTTGTCTCTGTCCAATGTCCATGTTTTATTAACTTATACTCCGTAGTCTTGTAGAGGTACAATAGAACAACTGAAAATGTACTCTTTCTATTCTTCAATAACTGTGTAGTAATCAATATTTTTGGTGTTGTGTGTTATACTTGGAACTTCAGATTTACCAATTGACACTCCACCTGAAGTTTTGAATTAAACTATAGTTTCTTGAGAAAGCATAAAATACAGTATTGATATGTATTTGTAAATATATAACAAATAATAAAATAATGTGAAAGTATGTGAAAAAGAAAGAAGGAAAAAATTGTCACAAAGGACCTTTTAATATCTATTATTTTATGAGAAAGGACATTTGAAAAAAGTGGCAAAAAGAGACCAAAAATGGGTTTTTATTCGCGAGGAGGGACCTTTGCCTGAAAAGTGAGTGTTGACGCCACGAAATGGCAACCACCACCTTGGTCTTCCACGAAATCCCCTTACCCACCCCTTTCACGGCAGCCGCCCCTTCCCCCTTCCCCCCTCCCGCAAACCCCCTTCCCCACCCCTTTCATGGCAGTCCCTCTTCCTCGCCCATTCGTGGCAGCTCCGTCCTCATTTCGAACTCGACAACCCCTTCCTCTAACCCTAAATTCGAACCCCACCGCCCAACAACCGCTTCCCCTAACCTTCGATTTGAACCCCACCCCCTACCCCCTTCTCGTCTACCACCACAGCACGGGTGGGGCAAGGGGGTGGCTGCCATGAAAGGGGTGGGGGAGGGGGTTTCGTAGAAGAGCGAGGTGGTGGGTGCCATTTCGTGGTGGTCAACGCCATATTTCTTTAGTCAACACTCACTTTTCGTGCAAAGGTCCCTCCTCACAAATAAAAACCCATTTTTGGTCCCTTTTTGCCACTTTTTTTAAAGGTTCTTTATCATAAAAGGTCCTTTGTAATAAATTTTCCTATTAATAGTGTGATGGTCTTTATTCTAATATGATCATTAGCTAGTTGTCAAAGTGTCAAATAGTATTTCAGAAGAATATATACGGAGTAAGATTTAATATTATCTCCGTTTCAAATTATTTGCTATGATTAAATATTTTTTACTCAATTTACATTTTATGCTAAATCGCTGTAAATAATTTAAAACGAAGGTAGTATGTTATTATTCTCTAAAATTATTAAAATATCCCATACTTTAGCTTAAGAAGTTAAGATTAATTAAAAATTAAAAACATGATGATGAGAAACCAAATAAGTACTACTCAATCCATGGGTAAGGGTTACTCCTTAGTCCTTACTCCAATCCTCATAACCGATGTAAGAAATTCTAATCCGATACAACACCTTCTCCTTGCTTATATTTTTAAAACGGATCCGATATTCCGATAAGTCGATAAATACCACATCAGATCCACGTAATAACAACATCCCATGCTCCCTTTGAATCGTTGATACTCACATTTCTTTTCTTCCATTAAACATATAAATTGACCAAAATCTCCCATCATTTTCATTTTCTCTCTCTTCGCTAAAATCCAACATCGTGTGCTTCTCATTTTCTCTCTCCTCCGCCGGTAATCTTCTGTCACTACTCTCCTTCGCTTTCTTCCGCCGTTACTTCCGTCATTTCATCGAAACTTGCACTCTTTTCATTTTCTCAATTTCCAGGTTCGTTTTAATTCCTATTCAACTTTTTCTGGGTTTTCTTGAATTGATTTTGTCGTATCGGCATGCAATTATGCTAGATTTTGATTTATAATATCGCAGTTTTAAGCCATTGATTTGTTTATTTGATGAACATTTGGAGATATTTTAGTATTGATCGTAATTTGAAGTTGTATGTCGTCGTCGTTTGATCAGCTTTCTTCTTGATGATTCGAGACTTTTCTTTAATCTTTTATTTAATATTATTATTGTTATTATTATTATTATTTTAATATTTGATTTGTACTTGATTTTGATGTTGGATTCTTTTGTTTAATTTTTTGAGATTTGAGTCAATTATTGAGAAATTGTTTAATACATACATATAATATGATTTGAGATTTCCGAATAAAAGAACATGGTTAGCCCCCTTTTGTCATGTGCCACGGGTTTTCCATGCATGATAGTCATTTTTTCAAGTGACACTACTCGGATTTTAAAAGTACACGTTGAAACGAATCTAACGATATCTCATATATGATAATACGTTGATATTATCAACAATTGAAGTTTTGGGTACGCAAGTGTATCATTTACTCCCTATGTCCTTAAATAAAAGTCAGCATTTCACTAAAACTTTGTCTCTAAGTAAAGTATTATACTCTCATTTCTTCCCTAATTTAATGTTCACTTTTACAATCAAACCCCACTAAATTTTAGTTATTCACTTTTTCTACTATTATTTTTTTTTTGATAAGATCTTATTTTGGCCATCTAGTTGTGTTAAGAAGTTTCATAGACATTGGAATTGAAACCAATTAATTAATTGACAAAAAACAGTCTTAACTAGGGAAACTAGTCCTAACTAGGAAAGCCATTCTTTAAATTGTTCTAAATATTGGTTAACTTGGAATCGTCCCAACTTTGGGGGTGTCTTCTTCAAGCAGTATATGATCAGAATCAATGTGCTTGTGTCATATTTTCATCCGCCTTTCCCTTTTTTCAAACGCGCACACACACGACCCACTGACCTGACCTTCACCTTCTATCTATACTGATATAAAAGTCACGACAAATAGTCAAAGGATAGTACGTGAATAGGGTACAATCTCAATTGTTGTGATAATAAAAGACTGAAGGAAGGAAGTATATGTACCCGAGTTTTTGGTCATACATACGTCATTCACGAGCAGTTAGAGAAGATATCATCGAAGTTGGTACTAGCTGTAGATAATCAATAGATGACAATGTTTTTAAACACAAATGGGCTGTAATGTGAATAATATATCTGCTTGTGGAGGCATATGGTTAAGCTTTGTATGTCTCTATCTTACCTTACACTAAACGTGTCCTCAGTAGCTATCATTGTATTTTAAGGACTAATCCGTTGTTGGTTGTGTGATTTTTTGTAGTTCCTGCAAAGTAGTGGTTGAATTTTTTTGTCAACTTTTGTCCTCTAGTAAATAGCATGTATATATTGTTGTAAGATGTAAAATCATTTGAAGTATTTAGTTTTCCTTCAGTTTCATTGTATCTTGAACCATATTGTCTCTGAATGCAAACTAATTTAGTCCTGTTTGATTTAAATTGTTGGCCTGATACTGGGAATCGTCTTCAGAAAAGTCATCAGAATTTAGTCATGGGTGCTGTTGATAGTCCCAAAACCAATAAAGAAAATCCATTGCCATCAGAGGCAACGAAGATCCTTCAGTCAATAGCTTCAAAATGGAGTGATGTAGCTGATCCAAATGCTTTACAAGTGATTCGACTCAAGGGGGCAATGACCAATGAAGTATATCAAATCAAGTGGCCAACCAAAGCTGGGGAAATGTCTCGGAAGGTCTTAGTCAGAATATATGGTGAGGGTGTGGACGTCTTTTTTAATAGGGAGGATGAGATTAAGACTTTTGAGTGTATGTCAAAGCATGGCCAGGGGCCTCGTTTATTGGGGCGTTTTTCAACTGGGAGGATTGAGGAGTTTATTCGCGCAAGGGTTAGTGTTTTTCAAGCCATTTATATATTTCCTTTTGAATGATCTTTCACACAAATTTCTCTAACATGTTTGTAAGGTTACTGTATTTTAGATTTTTAGGCAGCTTAACATGGGAGATTTTTAAACTTTTTGAATGTTATTGATAAAGCTTTGTCTTGGAATAATGTGGTATTACTAGTTTACATACCTTGTTGGATAACTATACCTGCTGCTAGCACTTGCTAGTTTATCTCATATAGTATGCTTTCAGTCAGCCTTTTTTCAATTTGTTGAGCTTACTAGAGGATCTTCTCCTCTGATTTTCTTATAATATATATTTTGTTTTCTTATAGATTTTAGAGGGGGGGGGGGGGATAGCAAGTCATTAGTTCCTGTTTATTTTATACAAGGGATGTGCTTGTGATAGGTAATAGATTAGTCGAATAGTATTTTCTTAATGCTGACTAATATTGCTTAATGTTCCACTGATATGTCTCTATGAGCCTTTTGTTATTTTAGAGGAATTGGTCTGCATATGACTATTTTGCATGCCTTTTGTAATATGTACTGAGAAGGTTTTGGGATATTTTGCATTATATGGAAATGTTGTTGGGAAAGAAGCTAATAGCTCCTTAATTTTTGAACTTCAGACATTATCAGCAGCTGATATGCGTGATCCAGATATATCTCCACTTATAGCTGCTAAACTCAGAGAATTCCATGATCTTGACATGCCTGGATCCAAAGTTATTAAACTCTGGGATCGATTACGGTAGTTTTCTATCATTTTCCAATTGCTTGGATTATAAGTTGTATACTTGTATTGTAACAATATGTAACTCCTGTTGTTTGTTCTTTGCAACTTTCAGTAATTGGTTGAATACAGCCAAACTATTATGTTCCCAAGAAGAAGCTGAGGCATTTCGCTTGAATGCTCTTGAGGAAGAAATCTCTGAATTGGAAAGGAAGCTTACTAGCAATCACTGCATAGGATTTTGCCACAATGACCTGCAGTATGGTAACATAATGATGGATGAACAAACAAAGTCAATAACTATAATAGTAAGTTTATCTTGTCTGAAGTGGTTTTTCCAAGCACTGTTAGGTGCTGAATTTGACTCACCAAATTTAAGTGGCCCACCCCTTTATGGTGGCTTATTGTTATAGCATTTTGCTGTAAATCTTGCACACTGACAGTCACTGCAATGTCCAAAATGAAAGGGAATTAGCTTTCTCAATGATTATTTTATTCGATTTATTATCTAAAAAACAAAAAAAAAAATGTTTTTCAGTAGTTTAGGAGTTGAATAAGCATCTGTCATGATTTTAGATTAAAATGAGAAGGTTTTCTATTTTTCTTTATTTTCAAGGATAATGTCTTCTTGTATCTCATCTTTCATATTTTTCTACACTCATCACCTCCCATATTGAATCCTCTAATTTTCTTAATTCTGTTTTTGTTTAGGATTACGAATATTCTAGCTACAATCCTATTGCATTTGATATAGCCAATCACTTCTGTGAGATGGCTGCTGACTACCATTCAGAAATTCCTCATCTTCTGGACTATAACAAATACCCTGGTGAGGACTACCTGTGGTTTTCTATCTTTGATGTTATATCTGTTGGATATCTGCCACTATTACTTGGTTACTTACTTGTATTTCTCACATTTCTTTTTCTTTTTTTTTCATGGAAGATTTTCAATCTTTCTCTGCAAATCTGTAATCTACTTTTGTGTTGACTTTATAATGACTTCAGGTTTAGAGGAGCGTCAAAGGTTTATACACATATATCTGAGCTCCTCAGGTACTTATCTTATATTCCTGAATCATTAACTTCCTTGCTAGATATCTGTTCATCATGCCTGACCTCTTTCTGGTTGGGTTATAAATCATAGATGTAAATATGTAATTGTATCTTTGGCATCTCTTTGGGCATTTCTACCTCTGTCTTTTCTTTTCCATGTACTTTTTCAGGGATGATGGTTAATGTACCTTCACTAGATGGAAATATTGAATGGCCTAAATCCAGTTAGCACATGTTCATTTTTAATGCCAACTATATATGAATGGGTTACGTGAAATTGCAGCTGTAGCTGAAGAGAACTTGGAACTTTAATGTAATGTCAACTGGAATTAGCTTTGTCTGTCATTTTAGTTCAAACATCATATGATTATGGGTGCATGGATGGTTATGCAGGAAACCAGTCCAATGATTGTGAAGCTGGACAGCTGCTTGAAGATGTTGAGAAGTATACTCTTGCAAGCCATTTGTGGTGGGGACTATGGGGCATAATATCGGTACTTTCTACTCTACCATTTCCCTCTTTTGTCATTAGAGTACTGCAAGGAAGTCTATCTACTAGAGCATTATGTATCCCTTTCATGAATTAGTTCATCAAACATTGCTTTAACCTCCTTTGCTCCATGTCTATTTTTATTAGCATTAATACTTTTAAGTCACACGCTCCAAAAGCTTAGTTACCTAGCAGAAACATTACCGTAGTCATACAATTCATGTGAAATCACCACTTAACCTCAAGAGGGGAACACACTTTTGTAGTATTGTTACTGAAGCAATAAGTGGGGAGAATTCTCAAGGGTGCAATAAGACTGCATGAGAATTGTGCCTTTTTTAGCTATGGAGTATGTTTTGTAATGTTGCCACTATAATCTTATTTCAAACTTAATTGAGTTGGGGAAAAAAGACTACAGGGATTTTATTTTATTCTGACATAAACTCCATCCAGAGTATAAACTTAGCTTACACTTTTGGAACCACCCCCCCCCCCCCCTCTCTTCCCTTTTTTGGGCAAATGAAAGTAATTTATTACCAAAATAAGGAGAAACAAAACTGCTAAACAACTACAACTTATAGGTTTATTTTCTTTTGCCATAAAGTCCATCTGCACAACATGCTGTCCTATATCATGCTTACAAAGATATACTTTGGATTGGTAATAAAGATTTTTTTTTTTTGAACTATTTTAATTTATTTTTTTTTCAATTATATTATTGAAATATAGCTATAGCTTCTAATTGCCTCATATTCTCAGTGGTAGAACAACAATATGACTCAAATCATCAGTGTGTGGCTGATAATAGTTATTTGTGTCTTTACATTATCATATCTGTATATACTGATTCTATGTGAATCGTTACTTTTCTATTTATCAGCATTATGTGAACGAAATTGAATTTGATTACTTGGAGTATGGAAGGCAAAGGTTCCAACGGTTTTGGCAGAGGAAGTCGGAGCTGTTAGGTTGTTCTTGACCTGCGCAATGCTGGTACGTGAAATTCTCTTTTTTTTTTTTTTCTTTTTTTTTTTTTTTTGATGCATTAAAGATACATTGTACACAACCAGACCAAGTAACTTCATGCCAACAGGCTCACAAGCATACCTTAGCTAAGGCATTATCCAGCTAATTTCTTCTTCTAGTTTATGCTGAGTATTCTGAAATCCTAAGCAATTGTCACATGTTACTGAACATCCCTTAGTAATCAATTATGTAGTAAGCACACAATTTTGAGGGGCTGGGTTATCACAAGCCAATTTTTTCCTAGTCACTGCTGCCACAATCCCTCTCATGTCTTGATACACTTTCCTAATAGAGAATTTATCCTGCTGCAGAACAATCATATCAGATAGATTAGTTACAACCCTTGATCACTTGATCTCCCAACAGGAGCAGACATTTGTGAGACTCTAAGGTTTAGCTGTATCTCAAACTGTTTTTATGAACCCACCTGATCCATGCTATGTTTTTCTTTAGGAAAGTTTATATAGAATTTTGTTAATGGTTGCCTTGTTCCAAGTTGGTAAACATGTAGGATTAAGATCACCTGCTGATTCAGGGAGACACAATGTTTCCTAAGCCACTAAAGCCCTTTCGGAAACCCCTGAGGTGCCAGCCCACAAGAATTTACGAAAGGGGTTTTGCAAGTTGTTTGAATAAGCTCGATACATTATGTGGTAAAGGGAACACTTGACTCCCATAAGCTTGTACCCCATAAACAATGTTATATCAGTTGAACCCTCCCTGCATAGGACAGCAACTTTAGAGATCCCAATTATCAATTTTTGAAAGAATTTTCTTGAGTTTATATATAGTATTTCTCAGATCATTAGCAAGGTGCTCCAATAATATTCCATTTGGTTGCCGAAAAAATATGTCATGTGATTATTGCATAGGGTGTCGATATCAATGTTGTTTCTATTTGGGATTATTAATGGTATGACTGTATGAGTTTCAAGGGAAGTGTTTTGCTTCTTTAACAGATATTGCCCCCTTAAAATAAAGTTACATCTTTAACCTTTTTGCATGGAGATTAATGAGTGAAGCTGGAGAGAAGAAAGTGAGTGTGTTTTTGAGGCTCAAGCTCTCTAGAAGTAAAGAGTTAACACTAGTAGTTGTTTGGTAGAATGATATTATGTTTGTTATGTAGTTTAAGGCTTAAGGGATAAAAAGAAGGATAAGGATGGGGGTGAAACCGCCTTTATATCTCCATTTCTTTACTTAGGGAGGGGGTGGTTTGGGGGTCAGTACTTAGAAATGTGGGTGAAAAGACTTTAACTGTTGTAATTAATTGGCTAATCATCCTCGTTGTTTTCTCAACTCATACCAGACAAGGGACAAGATTTATGGATTCCCTATTATAAATTCTCTATCCCTATCCATTTCTTTATCCCCATTTTATTCCAAACATTTGTTCATTACTAGTTGTTACAAGTAATTCTAAGTGTATTCTACTGTGTTGCAGGCAGATGCGAGTGGTATAGAGATTTAAAAGCGAGCAGAGTGCTTTTTTGGCTGATGGAGGTGTTGATGACTACTTTGCTTGGTGCTTGTAATTAGCAAGAAACATAAACTTTTATAGGTGTTCTTTGTTCATACTCTTCATAGCTTGCCTTGGAGGAGCATAAATCAAAATGTGATGTAAATTCTATGTCTGCATCCCTGAGACCCTGACTAATCTCTAGTTCCTAGCCATTTAGTGGCTTCTCTTCGGCATTTTTGAATAGTGCATATTAAATGCGTAAGGGCTAAGTTGGCTGACATACGTTCTTTTCGCTCTCTCCTGTATTGTAAATATGTTTTCTAGTGTGATAGGTTTAACCTTTCTCTTTTGTCTTAAGCAGTTGCACATACAGTTCGGCATTTGAGAATCCTTTTATCAGTGAACATTTTAACCTAGTCTTGCTTATTACTCTGTACTGTTAGTACAATCATAAATTGGTGAATACTTTCCTTCCAAATCATGCTAATGGATCGTTATCTAGGTGATACAAGTTTAAAGTACAGAGGAAATGTGGCTTTATTACTAGCTTTTTATATTAATTTTTTTATATAAAAAAACAGACTTATACAGTATTTGTACTTGTTAAACAACATTTGATTAAATGGAATAACAGTAATTGGTACCTGCTTTACATTGCATTATTCACCTATTTTTTGCATTATTAACCTGTTCGTTTGATTCGAGACCTACAACGGCAACCAACCTCGCATTCACAGCTGAACAACCGATCCTTGAGCTACAGACTACCATCCATTATCCTTTGCTTCATTCCACTTCCATTCAACATCTTTATGATGATTAAGAAAGTTGAGACATTAATACCCATTGTTGTGACATAACTTTATATGGTCAATTGTGACTGTAACTTGAAAGAGTTTGTGACATATAACTTCATATGGTTGATAGTGACCGTAAGAGTTTCGACATCATAGTACCTGCTGCTTATGGAACCCTAGTTGTTTATGTATTTTCTAATTGTTCACAATTAGAAAATAGTACCTGCTGCTTATGGAAGTATTTTCTAATTGTTACACAATTGTAATTCTCTACCTGCATGGTGGGTTTTCCAAAATTCAACAACTAGGGTTCCATAAGCATGTTGATTGATAAGACAAAGATTACATGTTTAAATTAGGTGATGGCAAGGTCAGAGTATTTTTTTATTTTTTTTTTAATGTAAGATACGGGGGTCCCCATCCTATCACATGAATTTAAGGGATAAGGATCGAACCCCTAACCACTTGGAGATGGAGGGACTAACCGTCCCTCTATTTCCTATCAGGCTATCATCAAGTATTAAATAGGTGTGGATACCTTGCTGAATGATGGACAATGGGATAAAGATTGTTGTATAAGATTTTGTATATGTTATGGGTGATAGGTGGGATGAGAATTATTATATTTATACTTGTGGATTGCTAAACACCGCCATAAAAAATGATCACCACTGCTAACATTTGGTGTGAATGGACAACCATACCCTTACTAGTTCACCACCCCTTATCCTCTCTGGCGACCCACAACCCGATCTAACCGGCGACAACCACCACTACCCTTATCAGCGACCCACCACATCCCCCTCAATGACGACCCACCACCTTCCCGTTGGCAGGAAGGTGGTGGTTTTTTTTCCGGCAATTGCAATAATCGAAACCCAAAACCGGTTACCGTGTGTTTTGGGTGTTTTTGTCCCTCGGGAGAATTACAGCTCGAAAACTAGTCCTGACTGCGCCTGTACCCGCAAAACAACGGAGACTCCGGGTGGTTGGAGCTCCTTCTTCGATGATCAAGTTAGGACACGAAGGAGAATATGAAAAAGGTGCGGAAAGTAATGTGGGATCTTCTCGGATTCCGAGATCAGGTGTTTTCTCTCATGTGAGAGAATTTAGGGTAGGCGTAATAAATGATTAAATGTGTTGAAAAATGGGGGATATCTCCCTATTTACAGGGTCGTTGGGAAATGTGTCCTCTCTTAGGTCATTTGACCTAGATTTGGTGGGTTGCGCCGTTTTGCGGCGTTCTAGGGAATTGGGCATTGAAGGCTGCAATTCTATTAGAAGGTATCTAAGGCTGACACGTGTTAGCTAGTAACTGGCCCAGGTGGACCTGCTCAACCTTGACATGTGGTCCCCTCTGATTGGTCCACATGGATAATTAATTCTTGTTTGATTTTATTAAACTCGTTTTCATTATCATTAATTGTCAATTGTAGATGCTAAAGTCATAACAATAGGTCAACAGCTTCGCAAAAACTAGGGTGAGAACAAATATGGTTTAAAAAAAAAAAATGGTTATTGACCAAATTTTTGGTACCAACTTAAAACCGACTCAAGTATTGTAAACCGACTCAAATAGTGAACTGCTAAACAACGCTCCCATAATCGGCCAAAAAAAGGAACCAGCCTTTCCCCAAAAATAAATAAATAAATAAATAAAGGGGAGTGCTAAACGCAACCTGACTTTACTTAGCGCAGCCTCTATTCCACTCATTTATTAGATGTAGGGAAAAAATAACCATTTTATATTTTTTCCTCTCAAGTAATCTCTAATAACAAGAGTGCATTAATTTAACTTAAAATACATTGAATTTGCAATGGGTAATGATTTTTACATTAGCCTCTTCGAATTTGAAAAGAATTATACGAATCTATTATGTGTAGAATCAATAAAACCATTTTTCATCCTTCAAAAAAAAAAAAAAACCACTTTTTTATATTTCGTTCAAATTGTATGAAATGATTGAGCCTATTTCGTGTGTCACCCAACTTCATTCGATTCGTGTTCATATTCATTAGATCTCGGAATATTGTTCGCTAATTGACTATGTAAGTAATTCAAATAAACAAAAATATAAATTTATGGAAATTAGTTGTGGAAGAAGGTGGAAAGGAAAGCAGGCAAAAATGTCGTGAAGATGATTTTAGCTTAGAAGGGTATTTATGGTATTTAGGAGGGTGTATAGTAGTAACTAGAGGTTGCGTTTAGCAATCATGTAAATAAATTAGGGAATCAGCCAAACCGGTTGATTTATTTTCCAATCCTCAATATCCCCTCCGACAATCTCGTCCGCCATTAGAGCCACCTTAATCAAACGCAATCACACACCAGAAAATCCCTTTCTTTCAATTTAGGGTTTCTCAAATTCGCTCTTCAGGTACAATCGATTTTTCCTAAACTCTTTCGAATTAATTTCTTTATCTTCCCTAGGGTTTATTCAATTGGGTATAAAATTCAATGGGGAAGAACGAATTTCTAACCCCAAAAGCAATCGCAAATCGAATCAAAGCAAAAGGTCTCCAGAAACTTCGATGGTACTGTCAAATGTGTCAAAAACAATGCCGAGACGAAAACGGGTTCAAGTGTCATTGTATGAGCGAGTCTCATCAGAGACAAATGCAGATTTTTGGGCAAAACCCAGATCGAATCGTAGATGGGTATTCAGAGGAATTCGAAAGTACGTTTCTTGATCATATGAAAAGGAGTCATAGGTTTAGTAGAATTGCTGCAACTGTTGCATACAATGAGTATATAGCTGATAGACATCATGTTCATATGAATTCTACTAAGTGGTTGAGTTTGACTGAGTTTGTTAAGCATTTGGGGAGAACTGGGAAGTGTAAAGTTGATGAGACCCCTAAAGGTTGGTTCATTACTTATATTGATAGAGATTCCGAGACCCTTTTTAAGGATAGGATGAAGAATAAGCGGATTAAGGCGGATTTGGCGGAGGATGAGAAGAAGGAGAGGGAGATTATGAAGCAGATTGAGCGGGCTGAGCAGTTGATGCCTATCGCGGAAGGTGAGGGTGAGGGTGAAGGTGAGGAGAGGGTGGACGAGAAGGAATTCCCAGGTGGGAAAGTGGCATTTGCGCTTGGAGCCGGGTTGTCGAAACCTGTTGGGGTAGGAGGGTCAGGGGAGGGGCCGAGGGTTGTGTTTGAGGATGTCGCGGAGGGGGAGAAAGCGAAGAAGAGGACTAAATATGGTGATGGTAATGCAGCTGTAAAGTCAGCTTTGGAGGATATGATCAAGGAGGATGAGAAGGTTAAGGAGCGTCATAATCGGAAGGATTATTGGTTGTGTGAGGGGATTGTTGTTAAGGTTATGAGCAAGAAATTGGCTGAAAAAGGGTATTATAAGAAGAAGGGGGTTGTCAAGAAGGTTATTGAGAAGTATGTTGGTGAAATTGAGATGATTGACACCAAACATGTGCTTAGAGTGGATCAAGCTGAGCTTGAGACCGTTATTCCTCAGATTGGTGGTTTGGTGAAGATAGTTAACGGGGCTTATCGAGGAATGAATGCTCGGTTGCTCTCTATTAATACTGACAAATATTGTGCCAAGGTCCAGATAGAGAAGGGTCTATATGATGGAAGAGTTCTTCAAGCTGTGGATTATGAAGACATCTGCAAACTTGCTTAGTGAAGAGGACAGATTGTGCCAGCCATCTCATCTTTGTAATGTATTGCTGAATTTGCTGGTTGATTTTATCTTACTCCTGATGTTATCACAATGCAATTGTATTTTTCTTTGCAGCACATATGAAACAATCCTTTTTGCTATTTATATTCTCAGTAATTGTTCTTCAATGGTGAAATTTGGTTATAGATGGTTTTTTGGTATATGTATCTTTTGTCAGAACTTATAGTGTGTGTCATTTGCTCTTGGATTTTACTGTAATCTGTCATGAGTGTGTTTCTGGTGTAGTATGTCTAAGCTGAGATTCCCATTTTTAGTTTCACAGGTTACTATTTGTATGCTTTGTCTCAAGGAATTTCTCTCTTGTGATAGTAGATACTCTGCATTTAGTTTTCTTCTTATACTTCTATGAGTTCTATCAGCGGTTATGATCACTGTAAATTCTTGGATAGAGTTGTTATAAAGGCATGTTGATTATTTTTCATTTATTTCATTTGAAGGAGTATGACTGTTTGAGGCTAGTTTGGCACCTGCACCCTGTTATATATGATGCCTTTTGCTTTCCTTGTTCTCATATCCCATTTGACCTATTTCTGATGTATAGTATTACTGCTTGTCATGTTAAAAACACTAAACCTTTTGTTATACATAGCATATGCTGTTATAAGTTTGAAGTATTCAGATAATGCCTCGACTGTAAATGATGTCTCTGTGCTAGTGTGCAGTACTAAGTCAAGAATGTACAGTTCTTGCCTATAGCTTGTTTATTATGCTGCCACCATTTGCACCACGTGTGCTAGGCATGTGGGAATATTACTTACATATTCACATTGTTTATGCTTATTTTATAGGATACTTGAAATATGGTTTCAATCGAGAAGAGAGGAGTGTTGTGTAATGAGAATGGGCTCCTGCTGTTCAGTAAGTTTGTTACAGGTTTAAACAAACTTAAATTTGGTTCAAGCTGAGATTTTTGGTTTTGCTTAAGATTTTTTGCTAGCTTGGGATATGGAGGGGTGAAAAGCATTACTTGAATATTAGAATTAGAGGGAGACAAGGAATTAGGAAGAGACTCAAATTTGCATAATTATAAAAAACATCTGAGAGATTTGAGAGGAAAAAAGGAGTGAAATGGGTAAACAAGTAAGCTGAGGCTTATAATATCAAAGCCATAAAAAAAGTGTTCTAGAGAAAGAGGAATGCGGATAAGTAGGGGGAAGAGAGAGGGAATGACTTCAACAAGGAGGGGAGAAAGAATGGCAGGGTGAAAAGTGAGAATATATGCCATGCAGAGAGGAGGGAGCAATAGACCTTAATAGAGTGTAATTGAGGTAAAGCTATGCATTTTCACCGGTCCATAGTCTCCATACCTCACATTGGAAGATTGGAGTGTCGAGTATTACATGGATGTGAAACAAAGAAGAAAGTAAATATGGGGGTAGGGAGGGGTAAATAGCAACTCTTGAACATTAGAATTAGAGAGCACTAAGGGAAGTAGGAAGAGAGTCAAATTAATTGAGAGGAAAAAAGGAGTGAAATGGGAGAACAAGTAGGCTAAGGCTTACTTAAAATACCAAAGCAGAATTGATCTTCGTAGATGTCTGCTGCACTCTGAAAGCACGCTGAAAGCAGAATGTGGACAATTTTTTTTGAAGAACCTCTTAATTCAGGTGTGATTCACTTAGTTCAACGGCAAACAAGTATCTTTCTGTCTTTACTTTTTGCAACAGTGCATATTAGTTTAATTTTTATGAGTTACATAGATTTCATTTCAACGAAGGAGTCTAGATAAACTTTATTATGATGATATATTCTTATTGATGTATAACTTGAACTAACATTTTGGTACTCTTAATCTTACAATGAAAGCTGGTTGCAAATTGGTTTATTATTGTACGTGTATGTCTTTGGAACCCAATGGTAGAGGAAATGTACGAGGAAGATTTTGGAGAATCTGAACTATTGATTTTTAAATCTTCACTAGAAAACACTCCCATATTAGCATGGGTAAAGTCTTGGGGATCTTAAGACAGGGGAGAGGATATGCTGGAAAGCTCAACGTCAGTACTCTACAATGCTCATAATTCGAAGAGCAATGTCAACAACGGTATTGATGCTCTTGGAAATAATGACAGCACTGGGATTTACGGTAATTATAGGACTCTTTCCTGACCCAAACGGTGGAGGGCATGGACATCCACATTTCATCTGAAAATTGCGTGGAGTTGTGTAAATTAATTTGAATATACTGTTGTAGATTTCTCTCGGGAGTATTATGTACTATGGCCTTGTTTGGTAGTAAGCTTATTAGGGGCATATTAGCTTATTTGATTAACTTTAGCTGATTGACTAGTCAAACAAGCTAATACAAGTATTTGGTAGTAAGCTTATTGAAAGAGCTTATTCCACTAAATAAGCTCTTTTTGAAAAAGCTCATTTTAGGAGCTTTTTCAATTAGCTTATTTATTAATTATTGTGAAATGACATTTATAACCTCATTTAATTTAAAATCCTATCTAAACTACCTACCCCACAATTATCTTATTGGTCATTTCACATACTCAATCACCTTTAAGCTATCAGCTATTTACCAAACACTTTTATATAATCAGTTAATAAAATAAGTTAGTCAAATCAGTTAATAAAATCAGCTAGTCAAAATCAGCTAATTCAATCAGTTTCAGCTTTCAGCTTTCTCCCAAACAGGGCCTATATGTAATATAGAAGTTGGGTTGGAGAAAATATCACGTGTCTGTACAAGATAGGGATCATATATGTAATTTTTGTTTTCACATGTTGGTAAAATAAAACAGCAGATTATAAGTGTAAAAAATTTGAGTTTACAAATAGTCTCTTTACTTCTATATTCTTGTATAGACATTGATTATAAAGATTGATTTACGTTAAATTTTCCATTTTTAGTTATCGCAGTATCTGTAACATACATAGCGGACGGGGAAGAGTAGTGGAGCACGGTTATGCCAAGCACAAAAATGCCTCCAAATTGTACTTCAAGAATGCCAATAGTCATCTACATTTCATTAGTGTTTGTTAAGTGAAGATCTCTATATTATGAATTATACGAGTATCATCTGTAGTAGAGGTTGCTTTACAGGACTAAAAAAAATTGCAGAATTATACAGTATCGAGTAGCAAGATAAATTATCTAAGAGACATTCTCTGCATTTGAAACAGAAGGCTCTAGCTCAACTTTAAATTCAACGGGCACTGATGGAACTTCGGTGGCGGAGGTTTGAGACTCGGTTGCTGAGGAGGTATCACTTTGGCTAGACTCAGTGGTTGAGGAACTTTCGCTTGGGCTAGGTGCAGAAACTTCAATGGTTTCCGTGGGCTTAAACTTGTTTACATAGTAGCTTAGTGATGGTCCAGAATAGACAGTTGTTTGTATCTGGGGCGCATTTTTACCAACCTGAAGCAGGATTGATGACGCACCTGCAACAATGAATAGGCCAAGAAAAGCTGCAATAGCTGATGTGTTCTCTGCACCGTCAGAAGAAGAACCTGCAGTTCCTGAGCTTATAGCGCTTTCTGCCACATATACCACGGGCTGCAGAATTTTTATAAATGTTAGATTTTAGCAAAAACAGTAAGCAAGATCTGGACCATGAGTTGCTGAATGTTCATGGAAGCAAATATACAAGTGGAGTCCAAAGAGCTAAAAGCAAAATAGGCTGCCATATTCTATGAACAAAATTTAGAAGCGGCTTATGCATTCGTGTAAAACCTTAAAAATCCTCCATTACTTGTGATCAGACAAGTTTTACCCGTTCCGTACAAGAGCCTTTTTTTTTTTTTTTTTGACAAAGTGGAAAAGGAGGCTATACTCCAACCGACTCGACACCCACAACTAATACAATGAAAGTTAGCCATTTAGGATTGTATCTTCTTAACAAATCATAGAGTGGGGAGTACAGGAGGGATAAAAAAAATGAAAAAAGTATACAAAGGAAGATGTTAAGTGATTCCAAATTACTTTTTGTCAATTTTAGCTTTGAGATAGAGGGAATACTAGTGTTCAATTGAAGCAAAGCAACTTTCGGGAAAAAAGATGTATTCTGAAAATGGAAAACTGGTACATGATTCACAATATGTTAATGAAATTTTGCATTGATGAGGGAAGACAGCCAAAGTACATACTGTCCACGACTTAATTCTGTCAGATCAATCAGGATGAAATCAGTAGGAATATTATCACTTAAAAATAGATGCATACTAGTCAACGAGCAGCCTGATTGAGAGGTGATTCTATTTCTACCAAATATATTCAGTTTCTGGGGATGTGAACAAGTATAATGATTTAATACCAATTACAAGTTCTATGCAAAAAAGAGAGCAGAATGTAGTTCAAAACCACCGACCTCAACTGAATATATATTTGTTTGGCCCGCTGTATCTTTCTCTATATACCCTGTCCAACCCTTTTTCCGAGGTGGAAATGTTCCCACCACCTGGGTCTTCTCTTCAGCCAACCATTCCATGCTAACCTTTCCTACCTGTTCATAAAGCAGCCAAGAAAATGATTTGTCACAATAATGACAATTTATTTACAAAGCTTCAGCTCAAGAATAAGGAGAAAGAAAGCAAAACATGACCAATGTATAGGACTCACCTGAACCTCAGGTGAATCAGGTCAAAACTTAAAAGTGGATAAGGCATATAGCTAAATTGACAATGATCCTGAACAAAACCTACTAAATCAGCAGAGATTGCATACAGTTTGAATTGATCAACACAGTTAAAACACCAAACATTACACGATTGTCCTGTGAAGCAGGTTGATGCAGAAATTTTGCATTGCAAAGAATTCAAATGGAGGTCATAAGCATGAAATTTCCAGTTTATTCCAAGCTCTATGTTGGTTTTGCACCATCATTGGGCAAGCCCTACTCATCTGGAAACCTTGATTTCCCACTTCATTGCTGCCAATCCCACGACTCCACGAGTGAGCAAAACAAGGGACTATTTTTTTTTTTTAATAATTATTATATTTATCCTAGTCACTAATTTGTGTCTTTACAAGAATAAGCTAGTTGGACATTGCCTTAGCATGTGTTCAGGTTTATTTTTTATGGGACTATGTCCTGTTATTATGTTTATTGTCACTTCACATTCCTACGTAATTTGCCACTGGCGAGCCCTTCCTAAGATTCAAATGACTTTTGCGTCCTTCAATAACAAACAACCAAAGCATACTTGAAAGGATCAGATTGAAGCTTAAGCTTGGTATGGTCATTACAAATCTCCTTAGAAAAAAAGGAATTCGATTTGCCAAGAGGTGAACACTGGGGGTTGTTTAATATCAGGAAATCTTTGTTTCATGTTGGTAGTTTGATTACTATTCAAATCTAACCTTTGGTTAATTGATAGCGGTCCTCATCTATCTTAAAACATTTGTATATATAGACTCAAAACATTTGCATATATAGATATTAATCTCATCTTGGCACAATATTCATCACATATCCAAGACAAACTATGAACTATTAGCTATTGTTTTCCTCAAGTCCTCAACTATGTTTGCTACAAAATGCAAATGATACATATAACTAATCTCAAATAGCTTTAATTACATCAGACTAAGCCAGTGGTTGATAAGTAACTATTAGCTCTGCTATGTATTTTGGGAGTTAACTCTAGATTCCAGCCATTCAGATACAATATCAATGCAATATTAAATGATATTTGTTAGTGTCAATACAATACTAAAAGTCGAGTTATATGCACAATACCAAACTTCATATTTATTACTCTCTATCATTCTACAACATCAATGCAAATTTAACCAAAGATACCAATTTTCTTACTTTAAGTGGAAACTGGAAATAGTTAAAACAACTTATAATTGTTTTAACGGTTTTTGATGCTTCCCATGAGATGAATACATCCTACAAAGTTGAGTTTTATGAAACAAATCTACTCCTTGAAAGTATTATACAAGCTGCTTGTTAAAATCAAATTTAGTCGAACTTCCAGTAATGTTAATCTCAAAAACTGGCAACAATAACCAAAAAGCTCTTAACGTGTTCCGCAAAAGGAAACACACCAATTGATCCTTAAATACTATCAAGTTCAAACCTTGAAGTCGTACATCCGAGTATATAATGGAAATTGCTGGCATCTATGACATTGAATACTAAACACAGAATTTGAAATTGGAATGAACTAAACCGCTCATTTTTTATCTATAAACACCACCCTATTATCATTTTTTTTACAGGAAAACCCCATTTCATACAACAAAGTTAATGATCCCAGAGTATTTATAACTAAGATAAAAGGCAAAATTAAGAAATACCCATCAAAGAAAAATCAAGGATTCAACAAAGGGTATTAAAAAGAGAAAGAGAGAAAGAGAAACCTCTTTTTCAGGGGCGCATTCTTCGGCATTGCAATCATCAGACTCATTAGAAGAAGCTCGAATTTTGAATTTGGAAACATCAATTCGCCCAATTTTCTTGCTCAATTGATTGTTCTTGAATGAGAATGAACTTGAATTTGTTGCAACTGATATTACTGACCGCGAAACACACGCCATTGCTTACCCCTCTTGCCGGAAGAGAGAGAAAAAGAGAAAGAGGGGTAATTTTCTGACACCACAATTACTCAGCTTGAATTTAACAATTGTTTTTGAAAAATGATTTTCTGAAAGAGATGATTTTGCTTTTTTTTTGGGGAGAATTTCTGAAGTTGTGAGCTTCCCTTGAGTAATGAACAACTTTTCTAGTTGTTGTATATGGATTTTGAGTGGCTTTTATTTGTGATGATAGACAGGCCACCTAGTCACTTGCCCACTCAATTCTAAAATAATTTGAGCTTCAAACATTTTTTTTTTTTTTTTTGGAAATTTCATATTTAACGAAAAAGTTTTTCTATAAGCTAAATATGTGAATATATCTTCTCTCACAATATAATCTATGTCTCAATATACGAGTACATTTTTATGTTTACCAGCAATCAATTTTTTGTGAATGCCAATTTGTGTAGTTAATACAAGCACTAACTCCGAATTTTTTTAGTTGCAACACTTTGCTAAATTAGAAATGTCACAACAGTTGCAATACAATATGATTGGAAAGTATTTTTATGTCAAAAGTTGTACTATAACCCTTATTATAATCTCATGGCCCACTAAATTATACTCTTAAACATTTTAAGTGTTTTAAATCACAAGTGACCCACTTTTCTTAAATATCGTGAAAAAGGGTGTGTTGCAAGTATTAAGAAACGAAGGATGTATAAGTTTTTGAAAGTGATATTACCCTAGAGATTGAATTTCTTCTACTCCGTACATCAATGTCCTCTTCAAAAATCAAATTTAAATACAAGTTTTTATTCTTTCTACGGAATATTTTCATTCCCTCTTCAAATATCAAATTTAAACCAAAAATATAATCCGACTAAATTCCAATATGATCTAAACTAATTTGGAATTCAAATCAATTTCACAAATAACGCAATATAATCAATGTTATGATTCTGTTTATTCTTAACCCAAAATGGCAAAATGTTTGAAATTCAACCTAGCTTGGCTTAAATAGAACTAGAATTGATAGATGAACCAAATTCGACGTCAACCAGATTAATCTAAATAACTCAAGGTGATAAAAAAAAATTTGGGTCTGATTGGGCCTTAACGTCAAAAAAGTAACAGGATTGTCGAGCCAAATCGAGATTTTCCCGGCATGTTTAGATTTATAATTAAAAATATATATCTAGGCTTGTCCAAACTCGCCCTATTTTTAAATCGGGCTGATACTGATCACCTATAGAAATAATCCAAGTCAACTAAAAATGAATTAACGAACCCAATCCAATCTTAACCGGCTTGACCCATATAGATTAAAAAAAAAAAAAAAAAAAAAAAAAAAAAAAAAAAAAAAAAAAAAAAGCTCAAACACCCAAATTGAATGAGCTAGAGATCATTCCATAGGAGATTGATTAAAATCAAGACTCACTTCACAAAACCTTAACTTTGCACTTGCACAGTTGCACAGAAAAAGGATACTCTCCTCTCCTCTCCTCTTAAACCCACACTCTCCAAATACCAAAATCCTAGTTGGGATTTCTTCAAAAGTGGAAAGATAGTGAATTCATGGCATTCAGATTGGGATTACAGCGAAATTTGCAGGGAAAAGTTGATGGATGCCTGCATACTGTCAGAAGATTTACTCATGCTTATGCACTTCCACCATCTTTTGGCAATTCAATTGACCCCATTTCATCGCCCCCTTTAATTCTTCCTGAAGATGACACCAATTCTGTTCATGGCGGCGGATTCATGGACCTAATGGCTGTCCCCAAAAAGAAGGTCAAAGATTAATTTTTTAATTTTTTTTTTGTTTCTGTTTGGTTTAAAAAATTTAGGGTTTTGAATCATATAATGTTGTTTGATTGATTATTTATTCCAATTTTGTTGTTCTTTGCGATTTTCGGTTGCAGGGCTATTAGGGTTTAAGGAATTAAGTTTTGACAATTTTTTGGGTTTAGGGTTTTAGCAGGTGTGCTACATTGTTGGTAATTTGTGTCGATTGTTCTTTCTATGTGATTTATGAGCTTCAATTTATATGTGTTTGCTAAATTTTCGAGTGAATCGTCTATTTGGAAGCATGATGATACATCATGTCTGCAATGTGTATTGATTTACAAGATAGCTAGTTGATGCTTCATTTTGATTCCAATTTTTCTGAATTCTTTGCTGTTGGTTATTGCCTACATTTTCAAAAATTGTTGAATTTTCCAAAGTAGGGAAACTCAGTATGAGCTACGAATACTAAGTAAATGGTTTCAGGTGTTGCATTCCAAATCTTATTCTAAGGTGTGAAATAAATTGTGATTGTTGCATTTTCTTTTTTGGGTGTAGTTGTTAGCAAAAAAGGTTGAAGCAGTTTGTTGATTCTTGTAAGAGTACTCAATTCAAGCAGCTAGTTTGAGTGTAGTTATTGTCAATTTGTCATGGTTGGCATGGATGATACTTTTTGAATTATATTTTCTTTGTTTCTCATCCTGTTTGTACAGACATAACATCATGATAGTTAAATTTGAAAATGGATATACGAAGGGCTAGTGCTAGTGTAAATTCATAGTGGAATTACTGGAATATGTAAATCTGTGTATTGGTTAAAAATGTGATAGACTGAGATGCCAGGTTGCTTAGTTTATCTTAATGTTCCTCTCATGTTGCCACTGACACCGGAATTAGCTGTTTTTTGGAAATAGGCTGGTTTTGTTGTCAATGCTGCTAGTTACAAAATTGTGATGTCACTATTTAACAAACTTTTTATGCTGTTTGTAGAAGATAATGTTGACAGAATGACAGGTGTATGTACTAAAGATGTTAGGACCTGTTTAAGGTAGACACTTTTGCCTGTTGCATGGTTTATAAACGTAAATCTTATTTGCTTGATCAGGTTTCAAAATACAAGAGAGGCATAAGAAATGGGCCAAAGGCTCTGAAACCTACTCCAGTTATAGTCCGATGCAAGTAAGGCATTCATCTGATATCTATCTGAAACTTTGATCTTTGAGTTGACAAGAACTGTGTTTATGAACTGCATATAAGATATGTACTCTACTTCCCTTTGGATCTTCTGTGGAGTTACAACTTACAAGTAGATAAGCGTTTTGATTGGGATAACTTTTCGCAACTCTCGTAAGATAACCATATGAAAATCATGCTACTTCACAAAAGTTTAATATAGAGGGGGTGTGTAAGTGTGTTACACTCATACACTGTGAACTTATTCTCCTAATTTGATATCATATCCATTTTATAATACACCAGAGTGGACAGTGAATTCAGTGGCATAATTAGGTTGCATGCATATTGGCATTTCTGTAGCAACTAGCAAGTTCTGCTTTTCTTTGAAGCAATGGGTTTTTATTTGCTTCCTTTTCCCTCTGCACCAGGCTAAACTTCACATTTGGATTGACATGGAATATATACAGTATTAAATGTTTATAACAAACTTAGTGTGAAGAGAGGAAAAACAATTTTCAGCAAAAGTGTTGGTTAAGAACAGGAAAATATTTGATGAGATGGAGGGAAGAAACAGAAAAGTCTGAAAAGGAAGTGTGAAAAACTGAAAATCATTTTGACAACCTAAATTGGAAAGTGTGAAATGTATCTTTTTTATGGAGTGTTTCAAGATATTCTCTGTTACTAAGGATATATAATAGAGATAGATTTAGAGAAGATGTGTTATACTAGGAGCAAACAAGCAATGATAAAAATGTATATCTTGGACTGTTTAATCTCACTAGCATTTTTCATGATATTTTGGGACATCCTGAGATTTTCTATCTAAACAAAGAGGAAGTTTAAAAAAAAATCACCTGGGTCACAGATATTGATCAAGATCATTGTAAAATGCCTGTTTGTATATTAGTTTTGCGATATTTCGCTAATTTTTAATCGTGGTTGCAGTTGTATTCATATTTTAACCTTTGCTATTGCCTGTTGGCTGTGTAGGGGTTGTGGTCGTGTGAAGCTGCCACATTTCTACTGTTGCAGCGGCCGCAGTGAAGATTCTGGCGAGAGAAGTGATGCAATCAATTAATTGTGCTCTTTGCTTTTTAGAATTAAATTTTGTTCCAACCCCACACCCTTGATGGAGTGAAATTCAGAACTTGCTATAGTTGAATTTGCACGGATATGATCATAGCATCTGCTTATTTCCTAGGGTATCTGTATTTTTCAATATGGTGGTGAAATACGAAAATGTGGCGCTCATGTTTAGGTTAACTCATGATATATCCTCTGAGTTGTATTGTTTTATTGAAAAATCCAAGTGATAAAATAAAGACATTTTCTCTTATGACAAGGTTTTTTTTTTTTTTTTTTTTTTTTTTTTTGTCCTACATGAACAAAGGTTTGTTATTGATTAAGATAGTGTAATACTGTAAGGTAACTCGATCGTATATTCGTATATCCAAGCAAAGATATGGGAGAAAGAAATTAGTTTAATCAAGGCAAAATGTGAGTAAATAATTGTATGTTCAAAGTTCAATTGAAGCTATTTTCTTACCATCAAAAAAAAAAAGTTGAAGCTGTGGTTTAAATTTAACATAAAATTTCCTTGTATATGAAACGGTACTTCGTACAAAATTTCAAATTTCTGATTAACATTATCGAGGACTTCATGTTATTTGTCCCAAACTCTACCAAGTCCAATTGCCCAAACTATGTGAAAGTTTTCAATGATGAATGATAAAAGGAGTCTATCTAAATACTCACAAATCGTAAAACAAAGAGTTTCCAAATGACGTGATCATGTTGTTTTTGCAACTGAAGGCAGAGTTCTTAGGAGAGAGAGAGATGGCTTGCGAACAGTATGATTAAGCAGGATCATTAGAGTTAAAAGAGTTAATGCTCCAGCCTGATGAGCTGTGCCAAGTGAAACCGGAACGTATGACAACAAAGTTGAAATTCCCAGAGTAACCTGCAAACAGAATCACGCATTTCATGAATTAAAAGTATCAGGGTCATTCATGTAATACATACAAAAACAGCACGAGTAACCTGCAATTTGAATCAGGCAATTTGCAGAAGTGAAAAAATAAAGTATTTGGCACAGCTGAACATATGCAAGTATATGAAAGTTTTAATTCACCTGCAGACCAGCAATTCCAAGAGTACTGCCAACCAAAGATCTCACAGCAGGATGGATATCCAGCTTCCTTGCTGCCCACCACAAACCGCAGATTGATGCCAGGGTTGCAGTGGCTAAGATACGATGATCCAACTGCAAGACATAGTAATGCAAATTATTTAACTTTCTAACTGATCTAGAGTTACTTGAGGGTCATAATAATGTTCTTCACAAACTGAAAATTTAATTTTGTTTATTTATCCAACTAAAAGTAAGAGTAGATTTTGGTCAGCTAGATCTCAAGGGACTACAGTTCTACAAATGCATATAAAATGTCATCTACACACTAGCTCTATTAAGAGGATATACAAGACTTTTGATTCTAGTTAATTCAGTTACCAAAATATAATCCTGCTAAGGTTGCATTACCCTACTGGAAAATTTTTACTCAAGGGTCGTTGTGTTGGCATATGTGCTGAGAGATCCTATTAAGGTTATTCATTGCAGTTGTTGGGTTTGAATAAGGCTATCACTTATAAGTACAGTTGCAAGGTTTGGAGCAATCCTAACTATTGAGTCATTTACTTATTGAATTATGCAGTATGGTATATGCTACTGCTTATCTTATGCAAGAACAAGATTTCAGGAAGTAGATATGAGATGCACTAGAGTCTAGAGGTCTCCGCCATTTTATGGGAAAGGGTTGTAAGGCATCCCAATCAGTTCATTATACTTCGTAATTATTTTGATATTGTTTGAATTACTCTTTTCTTCTTTTAATAATTAATATTATTTTTTTATAGCCAAAAAAAGTTAATAGGAGATTTAACCAAAAAATAGAAGAGCAGCTACAAACATCAGAGCCTATTCAGTGCTACTTTTCCCCTGTACTTGATAAATCAATGCCAAGCAGTACCAAAGAAGGATATACTTATTAACTATTTGTCTACACTTCAGCGGAAAGAAAGTCCTAAGGTTTCAAGAACGCTTTAGGAAAATCATAGGTGACGGCATCTTTTTTTATCAATATAACAGAGTTGACTATTGTACAAAATGAAAGCACGATCCGTACCTGTACTGTGGATGTATTTTCAAAAAAATTTCTCATAATTGGCTTCATACTCAAAACATCATCTGGAATCCATGTATCACCCATCTTTGGAAAGGTATTATAGGCACGACCCTAATGAATGATACCTTGTTAATCTTTGGCATAGGTTATAGCAGATAAATCAGATAAATTGCAAGTTAAATTATAGCAGAGAATAGAACAATCATACAGCATCATTTCCAGCAACAAATGCTCCCGAGACTGCAGTGACACCAACAAGAAGACTCACTGGGATGGCAAGTCTCTTAAGTTTTGCTGCACCATTAACCCATGCTAATGACTCAGCTGGTGGTTCAGGCATCACTACAGAAAGAGCAGTCCAAAGAAGACCACAATATATAGCAAAAGCTGAAGTAAGGTGAGCTGCTAGCCGGTAAGGGCTTACCCTTGGCTCGGCATATTCTGATACAGGTTCCTGAGGAAAGGAAAAGAAGAAAGTAAACTGGTGTCACTAATCATTATGGAAACATGTAACTGATGGAGTCCTTGATTAAGTGTGAGCAAAATTACCTCAAGACCACTTTTAACCATCCACCAGCCAATGAGCCCCTGCCCAGCCCCAAGAGCAAATAGAGTTGAAAGCCTCAGACCAAGACGTAGAGTAATAAACCCTTTACGCAGGAAATATGAAAATGGCAAAGCAAACATGACACCAAGTGCCCTTCCCCACATTCGATGTGCATATTCCATCCAATAAATGAACATGAAATCTTCAAGATTCATCCCCTTGTTAATACTGGACGAACTCAAATAAAACAACAAATATCAAACAAGTTGTACAAGAAACTAACTTTTACACTTCAAGCTGCACGCAACTATTAGTATGAATGCCACCATTACAAATCAATTGTTCCATGTATGAAGACAATCATTGCTTTATTGTAGTATCATATTATTTTCAAGAGAAATGAGCACTAACCGCTTGTACTCGGGGGATTGCTTGTATTTCTCAAATTCAAGAGCCCATTCTTCCTCTGACATAGGGGGAAGGTTCCCAGTAAACTTCCAATCAGTCATTGAAAGACCAGAGCGAGTAAGTCGAGTAATTCCACCAAGAATAACCATGCTGAACACCCATGCCGCAGAACTGAATAGCCAAATTCCAACCATCATCTGAGCACGTGGCCCAGCAGTCACTAATAGCTTTAGTCCTGCCTTTTCAGCCGGAACTGAAGAAGCTGTGCACATACCCCTCATCGAGTATTTATGGACAGCCTGTAATTAAAAAACAATACAGTATCAGTATTTATGAGCAGACTTGCATATTATGCATGAACATAGCAGAAGAAACAGAATTTAAACAAGAACCTTGGAAATTTAGTAATCCAATGCCATACAGCCAAAAGTTATTCATCCTCAGCTCTGAAAAACTTGGGAAAAAAAAAAATCTCATTTTCCTTTAGGTCAGTAACCATATTGTTAGAATACGCCTTGAATCAGTTTGTTGCTTCATGTTCCTGCACGGTGATCGGTACAGGCTAACTTTTTAGCCCTAATTGGTTAGCATTTTGAGGAGTAACATGTAAACTCCTTAATTCTTTACCTAGCTTAATTTTGTAATCTGTATTTCTGAAGACCAATATAACTTTAACTTCTTGTCTATGGTTGCAATAAAATCATTGTCAGTGACCAATGTAAAATTGGTGTTATTGTTTGTTCATTCAGTGACAAATTTCTCAAAAATATTAAAATTGAAAGGCTTCCCAATCTAAAGGGCTATTTTTTTAATTTTTTTTTTTAATTAAGTAATTAATCCCAAAACCAACAGAAACAGCAATTTCATCAGATTAAAGACATGTGAATTAGATAACAAAAATTTACAAGAATACAACTTCATACTCCAATTTTTTAAGCACCCAAATAGATAATTGCCCCAAAAAAGTCACAAATCTCCATTAAAAAAAAAAAAAAAAAAAAAAAAAAAAAAAAAGAAAGAATATAACAGCAAAATTTGAGCTAGAATAATCATAAAAAAAAAATTCATGATCCCAGAAAATTTGACAAATTCAGGGAAAATGCAAAAGAACCCAGAAAAATTAAGCAAGAAAAAACCTTGGGATAAGATCGGAAGCTAGAAATGGCAGCATTTCGAGCAGTAATTGAAGCAGCAGAACCAATTGCAGAGGAGAAGAATCTGAATCCTTCATTAGAAGAAGAAGAAGGTCTGCAACTGCTGGAATTATTCAGAAATCCCTTGACATTATTGTATAAAATGGAATTCAAAGCTTTGTTCTTCTTCAACAACAATGACGCAACTCTGTTCATTTCTGCTTCTCTCTTGGGTTTCAAGGGTTTAGTGGCTTCAACAGCATACACGACTGAGGTTTTAGAGGAGGTTTCGCCCAAACTATTTAACTTTTTTTTCTCACACGAATTAGAATTAATGCTCGTGTTCCTTTCGACTATTTAACCTATTTTTCTTAAAGACAAAATTGATTAATAGATTAGCAAAATATACTTACGTGAGATCTTATAAGAGTTGTACACGAATAGTACGTCTCTAGTTTTTTATTTTTTAAGTATGTGTTGCAAGTTTGTTATTGTGCCAATGTGTTTTTGGTAGTACCATATGAAGTACACCGTATGAAGTTGAGGTGATAGAGTAGTGACATCGCTTTCGTCTTGTATCCTTGAGATCTAGAAATCAAGCCTCATGGGACTCATTTGAGGGATTTCCCTTATCCCCCTCAAATGAGCCCTGGAGGTAATTATATACTTCCTCCATTTCTTTTTAGTTGACAGACTTGACACGTTTCTTTAGTCACGTTGTTGCTAGTTTGTACCCCGGCCGATGCCTCGGATTGCTAGTTTGTGTAATTCTTGCTTTAATTTAACAATTTTGTTCATTTGTAAAGTTAGTGTGTGTAGTGGTTCGAGCGTTGCCTCATATGTCACTTTTTTTTACATCATATGTAGTTATATTTAATCTTATGAAAAATAAATGAATTATATTACCTATAATCTACTTAATAAATGAAAGTAATACCAAAGTATATGATATTATGAGAAACTTGAAACATTAATAATAGTTGGTTGAGATAGTAAGTGTAATACCTATATGTATTGGAGGTTATGGGTTCGAATTTTGTTCAAAACATATTTTATTTTGTTAAATGAAGTGGCTAGGTTATGTGGCGCATATTATACTTTGGATGATGATGTGGCATCGTGACATAGCATGCATACTTTGAAAAAGTGTCACGTGGCACAGTTCCTTTAAAAGGAACGCCCTAAACTCAAAACGTGTTAACTAATATAAAACAGAGGTAGTATTAATTTGCTATTATATTTATTAGGAAAATTTGTAAATTACCACCCAAAAAGGGGTCCTGTTTTGAAATTACCACCCATTAAAACTTTTATTTTAAATAACCACCCATTAAATTAAAAAAGTTTTCAGATTACCACCTATTTTGTAATTCCGGTGGTAAATCCGTTTGAGGGCCCCACATAACGGCTAAAAATGGCGAATTTGACTCTTTTGAATGTTTCCCTCGTTTTTTTTCTTAATAAATTATCTAACATCAACTCACAACTTTTGCCCTAAATTTCATCCAAATTTCCTCAAATTGCAGCTGGTACATGTCTGAAATTTTGGGGTTATTGGGGCAATAAAATTGGGGGTTTTATGCAATTTTGGAATTAGGGTTCCTAGGGCTTTAAAATTGGGGGTTTTTTGCAATTAGGCTACATGTCTGAAATTGTAAAAGGTCCCAATTGCTTACCTCATGCGTCGCCATTGACAGGAGCTTCACCTACGCACTTTTGGTCCCTAGAAAACACCCCAAGATGGCGACTTCAACAGCAAATGCAAGTACAAGTAGGGTCCCAATTTGCAGAAAAAAAATGTTAGAGTTCTGATTCAACCCTTAAGGGGTAGTTGCAAAGTTGACAGTGAATTAAAGGAAGAAAAAGGGGGAAAGATTGATGCTTTTGGATGAATTAATTAAAGAAATTGATGAGAGAAGATGTTTTTTTGAATTTAATGTTTCAATCAGAAGGTTAGGTTGAGGGAAATGAAAAAAAAAGGAAGTTAATAAGGTGGGGCCCTCAACCGGATTTTCCATCGGAATTTCAAAAAGGAAAAATACACTTTAATAATCCCAACTATTGGCGATTTACTTAGAATAATCCCAACTAAGGATTATTTTCTAACAGTCCCAACTTTGCCTCTTATTTTCTTCCAACGGTCCCAACCGGTCAACAACCTGTTACAGCAGGTCGCATGCCACATGTCAACACACGATTGGTCCAAAATAAAAAAAATCAAAAAATTAGAAAATACAAAAAAAATCAGAAAATTGAAAAAAAATAAAATAAAATATTTTAAAAAATAGAAAAAAAATAGAAAATTCAAAAAAAAAAAACAGAAATTCAAAAAAAAAATCCAAAAATTATAAAAAAAAAATTCAGACAATTAGAAAAATTTCAAAAAATTAATAAAGATTTAAAATATTTATAAAAAAATTTAAAGAAACAAAAAAAAAAAAAAAACACCCAAAACCCACCCAGCCACCCCTCCCACCACCCTGTAACCCTAGCCAGCCACCCCCTCCCCATTCCACGCCGCAGTCAACTCCCATAAACTCCTAAAATGGCCGGCCGACATCCATCCAGCTCGGAAACCATCCGGCCGACCCAAAATCACCCCCGGAACCACCCCTATAACCACCACCTCCTCTTCCCCGACCCTCAAAACAACCCCCTCCTTTCCCCCACCATCAAAATCGCCCATTTCGGCGGTAGGGGAAAAGAGGAGGGGCTGTTTTAGGGGTCGGGGAAGAGGAAGGGGGTGGTTTTGTTGGTCGGGGAATAGCGAAGGGGGTAGTTACGGGGGGTGGTTTTGGGCCAGCCGAGTGGTTTCCTGGATGAGTGGGTGTTGGCCGGCCATTGTAGGGGGTTATGGGGGTTGGCCGCCAGCAGGGAAAGAGAAGGAGGGTGGCTGGCTAGGGTTACGGGGTGGTGGGAGGGTGGCTGGGTGGGTTTTGGGATTTATCTTTTTTCTTTACTTTTTAATTTTTTTTTGATATTTTTTTTCTACTTTTCTGATTTTTTTTTTAATTTTCTGATTTTTTTTTTAATTTTCTGATTTTTTTTTTTCAATTTTCTGTTTTTTTTAATGAATTTTCTGATTGTATTTTTATTTTCTGATTTTTTTTAATTTTTGAATTTTTCTTAATTTTTTTAATTTTTTGATTTTTATTAAATTTTTGTTTTTTAATTTTTTTTATTTTTAGATTCTTAATGAATTTTCTAAATTTTTTTTCTAATTTTTTAAATTCTAAACTAATCACGTGTTGACACGTGGTATTTATAAAAAAAAAAATTAAAAAAATTACCTTTTCAACAGGTTACCGGTCAATGGGACCGCTGAAAGAAAATAAGAGGCAAAGTTGGGACTGTTAGAAAATAAACCTTAGTTGGGATTATTCTAGGTAAATCGCCAATAGTTGGGATTATTAAAGTGTATTTTTCCTTTCAAAAAAGGTGGTAATCTGAATTTTTTTTAATTTAATGGCTGGTTATTTAAAATAAAAGTTTTAGTGGATGGTAATTTTAAAATAGGACCCCTTTATGGATGGTAATTTACAAATTTTTCCTATTTATTATTTGAAATTACTGAAATTTACTTATAATCCGTTAATACTCCGTATTATTTACTTATAAATCGTATAATACGGAGTCTTATTTTTACTCAACTTACTGTGACTAAATTTAAACTATTCTTTATTAATTTTACCATTTTGGGTGATTTGAATAAATATGTATGTGTTAGAAGGCAATGTGAATGCCAATAATTGATTTGATGTTACAATGCATATATGAGTCCAACCCTTGTGAACCCATATTGTCTATATGTATGAAATCATTGTACTCTTAGTTGAATACTCATGCTATATATAGAGTGGCATGCAAGAGAAATTTAACGAGCAATACTTATCAGTTCCTCTATCTCTTCTTACTCCTTCATTTCTCCGAAATAAAACTTTCTATCAGTAAAAATTTTAACACGTTATCAGCACCAGTTTCTAATCAGGTATAAATATACCTACTTCTAAAAATTTATAACAAATAATACTATCTACTTCTAAATGTTTCGAGGAGTATGCTCTATAGTTGCCCATATTTGGGATCCTCTATACCAGAAACTCAAACATTTATTGTACTATATATACCTCAAAAACAACGGTGAAAGTTCTCTTACTTGTGAATTTACTACTATCATCTTTTGTTTATTCATGTTGATGTTTCTTTGTTTGATCCATGTTGATATTACATACTCATTTTACGTAAATTTTTATCTTAGTTATTATAATTGCTAAGTAGTAGCTTTGCATGCATATTATTATTAACTAGATTAACAAAAAGATGCAGCCTTTTTATACTTATTATTTTTCTTACTTTTACATACTTTTTTGTGTTTCTATCCGTTTTCGAACCCATGATCTTTTATAGATATTAGGGCTCTCGGACCACTATGGCTTGCATTCCCAGTGTGATAACCTTTTACAATTATAAATATATATATATGGACCATAATTTTATGCCAGTACGTTAGACTATTATATGATATTTTTACAGTTGTACAGAACAGTAACGGATAAACCTACCTCTATAAAAGACGGATTTTTCCCCCAATTTCACCACAAATCCTTTATCTCTTCCCACTTTTTATCCAAAAATCACCTAAAAATTTTATCACCCCCTTCTTCTCCGATATGTTCCCCGACGACGGCAACCAGAACACCCAAAACACCCACAACTTCACCTTTGAAGAAGATTTAAGGAAGATAAAACAATATTTCCTTCTAATACGACACTTGTAGTTCTATTAGTAGCAATATTAGTTTTTGTCGTTATGTATAAGTAAAACTCACTTATTTTGTCGTTTTAGTATATTAAAAGCTTGTTTTTGTTTTATTATGTTGTTTGTTGTTATTAATCATCATTGTATAATATTACCGTTATCATTATAATTATTGTTACTATTGTTATAGTTGTCGTTTTGTTTTTTTTTTTTTTTTTTTTTTGCAACTAACATGATTAATTTTTGTCTAATCATATAATTACTCACAATAATAAACCAAGGGGGAGAAAAGACTATATTATTTATGGTTTATTATTATTAAATTTAATTATCACGTGTCTTATTAACTTAATTATAAATATGGAAGAACTAAACATGTGAGTTGTACATATAATTTGTTATTATAATCTAATTATCACGAAATTTGTTGTAGCTAAAATGGGAGACCTTATGAAAAGACAGTTCAGCATCTTAGATTTATCTGGAAAGAAATTTCTGGAATGGAAAGTGGATGCAATGATGAATTTGAAAGCTCAAGGTTTGGAGCACACTGTTAAAGAAAATAAAAGTCCCTCTGGTCAAACAACTGATACTACCACTTCTGCAATGACTGTTGCAAAACCTGCTACTGAACAAGATAAGGCAAAAGCCTTAGTGTTGTTAAGGCATCATTTACATGAAGGCCTTAAAACTGAGTACATGATGGTTGAATATCCCAAAGAATTATGGGATTGCCTTAATGAAAGATTTGGACACCACAAAAGGGTGCTCCTGCCTAAGGCATTATTTGATTGGACAAATTTACGGTTCCAGGATTTCAAATCTGTAATTGATTATAATTCAACCATACATGAGATAGTGTCTATATTGAGATACTGTGATCATCCAGTTACGGATGAACAGATGATTGAAAAAACACTCACTACCTTTCATGCAAGCAACATACTGTTGCAAGAACAGTATCGTGAAAGAGGTTTTAAAAGGTTCAATGAATTAATGAGTATATTGCTTGTTGCGGAACAAAATAGTGAACTTTTGTTGAAAAATCATAACCTGAGATCAACTGGGTCTTTGGCCACTCATCATGAGGCAAATGCAACAAATTCCTATCCACCCGAGTCAAATGCTACAAGAAGAGGTGGACGTAGAAATTACAATGGCCGTGGAAGAGGCCGTGGAAATTATCGCGGACGCGGCCGTGGTCGTGGTAGAAATAATTTTCAAAGAAACAGTAATTTCAAAAATTTTGAAAAACAGAAGGGACAGTCATCTGGAAGCCACAAACAAACTCCTTTGAAAGGAAAAGACACATGTTACAGATGTGGCATGACAGGACATTGGGGACGTACTTGTCGAACGGCCAAACATTTGGTAGACCTTTACCAGGCTTCTGTAAAAGGCAAAGAGAAAAATGCAGAAGCAAATTATGTTAATGAGGAAAATGCTCCTTGTCCCAGCCTTGATGTGTCTGATTATTTCATGGATAATGCTGAAATTGGAAATGATTTCATTCTTGGAGAAAACAACAATACTTAGGTTTCTCATCTACTAATGTAACATATGCTATGTTTTAATGTATTTTCTTAGTTCCCTGTATTTTAAATTTCTAGTCATGTACTCTAAATCTCTATCATCAATAAAAGTTTGTATGATATTATTCTAAACTAATCTCAAATTTATTTTATGAAGATATGGATCTACCTGAAGTTAGTTCCGAATATCAATGCCTTTTGGACAGTGGAACAACGCACACTATCTTAAAAGATAGAAATTTTTTTTCACAACTAAAGTTGTTTCAAGCAAATGTAAACACCATTTCCGGGTCAGCTAAATTAATTGAAGGATTTAGAAAGGCTTGTATAATGCTTCCAAATGGAACAAAATTAATAATCAATAATGCTTTATATTCGAGTAAATCTCGAAGAAATCTCATAAGCTTTAAAGATGTACGCCAAAATGGCTATCATCTAGAAACAATGACAACAGATCAAAAAGAGTATATATGCCTCACGGCAGTAAAACATGGCAAGAAACATATATATGAGAAATTGCCAGCATACTCTTCGGGGTTATATCGTATAAACATACGACCCGTGGAAATCAATATGGTATCTAACCAGAAGTTAGATGACAAACATTTGATTATTTTATGGCATGATCGTTTGGGACATCCAGCAACTGGGATGATGCAAAGAATAATAGCACATTCAGTTGGACATTCAATAAGAAATGTCAAAATTCCCCGATCAGATGAATTAACATGCTCTGCATGTTCACTTGGCAAATTAATAATAAGGCCATCTATGAACAAAATTGCTACTGAATCTCCAAAATTCTTGGAAAGAATTCAGGGAGACATATGTGGGCCAATTAATCCAGCATGTGGACCATTTCGATATTTCATGGTTTTAATTGATGCCTCTACACGATGGTCACATGTTAGTCTACTTTCAAGTAGAAATGTTGCCTTTGCAAAATTACTTGCCCAAATCATCAAATTAAGAGCACAATTCCCAGATAATACAATAAAGAAAATAAGACTTGACAATGCTGGGGAATTTACATCCCAAACATTTAATGATTATTGTATGTCAATTGGAATTGATGTTGAACACCCAGTAGCTCATGTTCATACACAAAATGGTCTAGCTGAATCACTAATTAAGAGATTACAATTGATTGCAAGACCATTATTAATGAGGTCAAGATTGCCATCATCTGCTTGGGGACATGCTATAATACATGCAGCAGCGCTAATTAGATTGAGACCTACAGCTTATCATAAATTCTCACCACTACAACTTGTTTGTGGTCGAGAACCAAGTATCTCACATCTAAAAATCTTTGGTTGTGCTGTATATGTTCCCATTGCTCCACCCCAACGAACAAAAATGGGTCCACAAAGAAGGCTGGGAATTTATGTCGGGTTTGAATCCCCCTCTATAATTAAATATCTTGAACCATTGACTGGTGACTTATTTACGGCTAGATTTGCGGACTGTCACTTTAATGAAACAGTATTCTCAGCCTTACGGGGAGAGAAAGTGGACCCACGTAAGAAAGAAATTGAACTTATTTGGAATGCAACACAACTGTTGATGTTAGACCCACGAACAAATATGTGTGAACAAGAAGTCAAGAAAATTGTTCATTTACAAAGTGTTGCAAATCAATTGCCTGATGCATTTGTGGACACAAAGAAGGTGACAAAATCACATATACCAGCAGAAAATGCCCCTACACGTATTGAAATCCCAACTGGTAATAAGGCCATAGAAAATGAATCTCAGGCACGCAGAAAGCGTGGAAGACCACTTGGTTCAAAAGATTCTAAGCCAAGAAAATTGAAAAGATTGGATGGAATAGAAAATGAGACTAATGATGTTCCCCCGTCAGAAGGTCAAGAAAGACCAAATGTGGATGAAAGTAAAGAAAATGATGATAATCCAAAAGGGGACGAATAAGAAGACAACCCTACGGGGAATGAACAAGATGTTCAAAACATCGATAACAGTGAAATTTCAATGAATTACGTCTCTACAAAGACTCAGTGGAATAGGAAAGATGTTATCGTTAATGAAATATTTGCAAATTTCATCGCAATCGACATTGTGTCTGATGAAAATGATGTTGAACCAAGAACTATAGAAGAATGTCGACGTAGGAGTGATTGGCCAAAGTGGAAGGAGGCAATGCTGGCTGAGTTAAAGTCACTTGAAAAACGAGAAGTTTTTGGGAAAATAACCCTTACACCAGCAGGTGTAAAACCCGTTGGATACAAATGGGTATTTGTGAGAAAACGTAATGAGAAAAATGAAATAGTTAGATACAAAGCAAGACTTGTAGCCCAAGGATTTTCTCAAATTCCAGGGATTGATTATGAAGAAACATATTCTCCAGTGGTTGATGCAACTACATTAAGATTTCTGGTAAGTTTGACAGTCACAAAAGGACTGCAAATGCGATTAATGGATGTAGTGACTGCGTATTTGTATGGGTCACTCGATACGGACATTTACATGAAAGTCCCCGAAGGACTAAAACTACCAGAAAACCATAAGCCTAGACAATTGCTTTCCATAAAGCTAAAAAGGTCACTTTATGGATTGAAACAATCTGGAAGGATGTGGTACAACCGTCTGAGTGAATACCTTATGAGAGAAGGATTCAAAAACAACCAAGTCAGTCCCTGTGTTTTCATAAAGCGATCACAATCAGGATTCGCTATCATTGCAGTTTATGTTGATGATTTAAATATCATCGGAACCCCGAATGAACTCGAGAAAACTGCAAAAAACTGCAAAATAATTGATGAAAGAATTTGAGATGAAAGACCTTGGGAAAACTAAATTTTGCCTTGGACTACAAATTGAGCACTTGAGTCATGGCATTTTTGTCCATCAATCAAACTATACAGAAAGAGTTTTGAAACGTTTCTTCATGGACAAAGCAACCCCAACCAACTTCCCAATGGTTGTTCGTTCTTTGAATATGAAAAATGATCCATTCAGACCCCGAGAAGAAAATGAAGAGATTCTGGGTCCAGAAGTACCATACTTAAGTGTAATTGGAGCCTTAATGTACTTAGCTAACAATACTAGACCCGACATAGCTTTCTCTGTGAATTTGTTAGCCAGACACAGCAATGCACCAACATATAGGCATTGGAAGGGAGTTCGACACTTACTCCGGTACCTACGAGGGACACAAGACCTTGGTTTATATTACCAACCAAAACAAGATGCTGCTCTCATTGGGTATGCAGACGCTGGATACTTATCAGATCCTCAAAATGCCAAGTCACAAAATGGATATGTGTTTACTTATGGAGGCACTGCAATATCTTGGAAATCAACAAAGCAGACATTGACTGCGACATCATCAAATCATGCAGAGTTGATAGCCCTCTACGAAGCAGGACGGGAATGTGTATGGCTAAGGTCGATGATCAGTAATATCCAAAAGGAGTGTGGAATGAACGCAATAACAGAAGACCCAACCATCATCTTTGAAGATAATACAGCATGTATCGCTCAAGTAACTGAAGGATATATTAAGGGAGATAAAACGAAACATATTGCCCCAAAACTGTTCTTCACACATGATCTGCAAAAGGACGAGGAAATAAATATCGAGCAAATTCAGTCTTGTGAAAATCTTGCCGACCTTTTCACCAAATCACTTCCTTCGAAGAAATTTGAACAGTTAGTTCATAAAATCGGAATGCGACATCTTCGTGAACTATGCTGAGATCAGGGGGAGTATTATATGTGCTGCACTCTTTTTCCCTTCGATCAGGTTTTTATCCCACCGAGTTTTTCCTGACAAGGTTTTTAACGAGGCAGTATACCAAAGCATATAATACTATATCGTTGTACTCTTTTTCCCTAGCTATGGTATTTACCCCATAAGGGTTTTACCTAGCAAGGTTTTTAATGAGGCAACAAATACCTTTTGTGTATAAGTATGGGCATTCAAGGGGGAGTGTTAGAAGGCAATGTGAATGCCAATAATTGATTTGATGTTACAATGCATATATGAGTCCAACCCTTGTGAACCCATATTGTCTATATGTATGAAGTCATTGTACTCTTAGTTGAATACTCATGCTATATATAGAGTGGCATGCAAGAGAAATTTAACGAGCAATACTTATCAGTTCCTCTATCTCCTCTTACTCCTTCATTTCTCCGAAATAAAACTTTCTATCAGTAAAATTTTTAACAGTACGAAAATTTAAGAATGTTATCCACCTACAGGCTACATCCCCTAGTTGTCTGGCTTAGGAAGCATAACCTCTCTCCCTCCAATTTCCCCCAAAAAATATCTGAGTTATTCAACACTCCTTCCCTCCTCACTCTCAAAACCCCACCAAAATCCTTTCTTCTCAACCGAATTTACAAGGTAATGTCTTCCACCCAACTTTTTCCAAATTTATACAATCAGTATTATCAGCATTATAAATTTATAATTGTAATCTCCTTAATAAATTTCACTTTCATCAATTTATTTGTTTATTTGCTTCATAATTTGCTCATATTTTCTGTTCTATTTTGACTCAACTTTGCATATGTTTTGCTTGAATTGATTGATACTCATATTAATTACTTTAATCAGGGAGCTTTTGTTCTTGAGGAAAATTAAAATTTATACAAAAAAAAAAAAATTGATGAAAATTGTGTTGGTAATTCAATTTTAAGTTTAGGGTCACAAATATCAGCATTTTATACTGAATTTTCATTGCCGATTTGCTTTCGTTGAGCTTCACCCATTTCTAATAGATACTTTACTGTTCTGTTTCTGTGTTAAAAATTGAAACTTTGATGAAAATTGTGTTGGTAATCTATTATTTTGGTTAGGTCACAATTATTACCATTTCTATACTGAAATTTGATTATTTTGCTCATGATTATCGAGTTTCACTCATGTTTAATTGATACATTTGTCTTGTGATTATGTCATTTCAGTTCAATATAGCTGGAAATTTAAGAGTAGAACAGTCTGTAAGCTATGGTTGCAGCAAGTTCATCTTCCATTTGTGCAATAAATTTGATATTTAGAGTGAAGGGTCAACAATTACTTCACCCAAGATGTCAAGATGCTACTTTTACAATGCTAAATTTGCCCTGCTTAGGAAGAGGTATCAAAGGATTCGAAGTAAACCAGATTACTGCTGGCAGGAAGAAGGGTTCTTTGTTTGCAAAAGCGAGTAAGAAGTCCGAGGAATCAGTCCCTTCTTGGGCTAAGCTTGACTCGGATGAGCCACCCCCTTGGGCTCGTGATGAAGGCAAGTCAAATGAACTGAAGGAGGGATTTGAGGTTCCTTTCTTTGTTTATTTGCTTGCCTCGGCTATAACTGCTATAGCTGCTGTAAGTTCCTTCACTATAGATTATAATTTGGACCCTAGGATTGTATGCACTTAGTTGAACATGATGTGGCATCAATCTAAGGTTGTGTTTTGTTCATTGGAAAACATTTAAATCGAATTTAATTTTCAATTAAATGGTATGTTTCAATGGTTAAGACGAAAAGGGCAATGGTGGGGGAGAGGTGGGAGAGTAGAGAGGAGGGAGATGAGAAAAAGGGGGGAAAATGTGATTTTGTTAAAAGGGACATCTTTTGCACCCTTTAGAAAACCTTTTTGTTAACTACAGAAATTCTTTTCACCCCTTTACAAACCAAACCGAGGGAAATGGAAATCTAATCTTCCCTCTTAACTAAACATAATCTTAGGGAAAAGAAGAGGTCGAGTCCTTTTTATCTCATCTTTTCCCTCATATGTGAAAATTGAATACAATGCAGGATCTTCTAATATCCCTATACATGTCTTAACCAATTTGACATTGATTTGATTGTGCAGATTGGTTCAATATTTGAGTATGTCAATCAAAAGCCTGTTTTTGGACTTTTGAGCTCGGATAGCGTTTTCTATGCTCCTGTGCTTGGATTTTTCGCAATTACTGGAATTCCAACTTCGGTATGTTCTCCTAGTTTTTGGTTATTCAGTTTTTTTATTTCTTTCGCTGTTAAAGATGAGGTTCAATACTGTTTGAAGTTCGGTCAACTGGCAGAGGAAATAACCGAAATACAGAATGCAAGGAAATAAGGATCCAAGATATGTATAATGAATGGACTACATTGACAATATTCTCTGTAAAGTTACACCCCTATTAATAGGCAAATGACTGACTCAATGAGTGAATTATGATATAAAACTAGGAACAAAATTCTGTTTGACTCATATAATCTTTAGCAGCAAACAAATCTTATAGGATGATAGAAAACTATTGTGAAAACCAAGAGAAATTTGACTTGGTATAGTCAAAATAATCACATGCAAATTATTCCCCGAGTTTATATTGCATTGATTTTCAACAATGCAAATTTCAACAGAAATAGGGGACATTTAAGAAGTCTAAATGGTTTCATTGTCAGATGAACTAATTCTAGCATCATGTGCAGGCTTTTCTTTGGTTCAAATCCGTTCAAGTTGCCAACAAGGAAGCTGAAGAACAAGATAAGAGAGATGGTTTTTGACAGGGCCGGAGGTTAGGGCTTTGGTTCTTCTTTTATGTACCATTACTGAATCAATTGTAGTTTTACCTTGGTAAATACCTCTATCTTGTAATTAGCTATACCTGGTTGCTTCACTAAAATTTCTAAGCAAAATTTATGAAAATCAAAATGTTTAAGTTTTGGTCACTAATTGGTCTTTATATGGTACACAAATGAACCTGTATTTTAGGTGTATAGCATTAATGAAAATACATGATATCACTAGAATGTTACCTTACTGCACAGCCAATTACTTTAGAATAGGGCAATGGGTGATAAAAGAAGCCATGGTTTAAGGAGGTCACCATTGCATTTGAGGACTTGCATTCTATTGCTTGACTTGCATTTGAGGAATTGCATTCAATAAGAAGCACAATAAGAAGCAACATTCTTATTCCGTAACTAGTAGTGATTTTAGTTATCTACTCCATCATTAGAAGCCCTATAAGCTTCTCTATTTCCTGTAGGGTTTTTAGGTGCCTAAAGCCTTCATACCTTCCATGTATCATCATAGTGATGTACTGATAAAAACACAGTCATTCTTGAAAATCTCTTCTCCATGTCTGTTTCTATCTTGACTAGTGGTGCTCGTAATTGTAGTTCTTGTGGACGTCTCGTACTTTTCCCACTGCACTAAAAGACTTGACTGTGCGTCTGTGCTCACATGAGCTATCATTTTAACAGCGAACCATGATAGATTGTATAAAAGCCCATCAAGAAGTAACAAACGACAGAGAAACTCTATCATCAGTAGTAGTAGTAGTAGTAGTAGTAGTGCCTGCATCGTGGGTAGTGAGTACAGAAGCATAAATGATGAGATGATCTTATGGAAAGCATGATGATGCTTGGAAAATATATTGAAGCATGGATCCAATTTGAAAAGCTTGTGATTGGCCAAGCAAAGTGAATTCGACCTACTTGAGAGTGTTATACATGATGTGAGAGTGTGAGACAGTTGAAAGAGCAACTCATATGTTTCTAATTAACCAAGTAATTTTTTTATAAGGTGGTCAGTTGAAGATGCAACTGTTTCTCTCATAAATTAGTGTACAGTCCTTATAAGCAACGCAGGCAGCCAGAGAACTTCTTTTGTGTAATAAAACTAGTCCTTATAAGCAATGCAGGCGGCCAGATAACCTATGTTGTGTAATAAAACTTTGTCGTTTAAACACCAGTACTATGGAAGTGTGAGAGATACGGATGACAACTTCAGGATTAGTTTCGCCTGAAGAACACAATGCGTAATCCCACAAAACTATAAAACCTTGATTTATCTGGATCTGCCCAAATAATGTGAAACGATACTGCATGGTTGATTGATACATTTAATTGATGTCAAGAGAAATATCGTTTGTTTATCCTCATCTAATGATTGACAAATATGGATCATGTGAAAATTGCTGCAACAATACAGGGATCTAATAGCAGTAGCTGTATTCAGTGGAGGATGCAGAGAAACTGGTGGAACAGAAAAAACCAATTAAATAAAAAATAAAAAACCAACAATACATTAAATAGATTTTCATTACTCTTGTTTTTATTGATGGAACAGAAAAAATCAAATAACTGAAAAATAAAATAACTAACAGGCAACAGACCCCAAACCGAACAACTTACCACTTGAAGATGAATCTACTCGACTTGAGTCGAACTAAAATTTATCCAAACGACACATTTGCCACCTATATGATTCAGAGTTCGGTATGTTCGGTAGCAGTACAAAAACTTAACCCAGAACCATTCAGTTTTTCATCTCTGATCTTACACAGGCGCTCAACCATAGCCGGTGTAAGATAATTAACCCAATCTCCGACCACCCCTTTCCTAAAGAAACTTTTGTTGTCAAAATCAGGATCACATTTTCCATTCTTATTAACCTCCATTTCTTTCAAGCTCTCTATACTGCAAAGGTTTATTATATCTTCTACCATACCTTGCTTTTCTTCCTCTTTCGAAAATGGGTACCCTACAAATTCAGCCACCCTCTTGAGCTGCAATGCACCATCTTCCTTCAAATCCTCGTACTTTAAAAACAATACTTTCTCCGGCCTCTCCAAGCTCTCACTCCATGTTGACCCTTATGAGGTTTTGATGATGATGTTAAGAATTGAGCAAACTTCCTTTTAATAAGGATTTTCTAGTGTTGTGATGTTTGCAGGTTCAGTACGCGTTGAGGGCTGAAGTAGGAACTGGGATAAAGGAACTTTAGAAGATCCATGAGGACAAGTAAAAGACAGAAGAAGAGTTCCAGCAATGGAACTTCTCGAAGTTTCTCAAAAGGAACTTCAAAACGGGTTGTAACGAACTGGTTCCGGTGTAATGCTGGGGCAAGCCTCAATAACCAAGGATCAGTGCAAAGATCGAGATATCAACTGAAAAAGATGGACTTCATAACTTATAGTTGTATAAAAGATAAGTTTGTTTTATAGGTTGATGTAAACTCATTAATGGTTGTTGCGCATGGAACTTATTAGAAATCAGATAAAGCTTGGCAAACAAACTAATTCCTAAAAGATAATTATAAGTTTTATGAAAAAGTATTTATTTGATTTTATCCTTTAAAATCTGGTTTAACTCGGTTTTATCTTTTTCATAAAATTCTATCTTTTAACAAAAACGAATTTGATAAAATTTGGTTTTCATAAAAAACGAAATTAAATCTGTTTAGTTTCGGTTATAAAAAGATAAGTTTATATTTCTATTTAACTTATCTTGTTTGCGAAAAACCTAGTTTATGAGCTGAGAAACTCCTATAAATATAAAAGTAATTCAGCTTAGCAAAATGAGAGTTTTAAGCGTGAAAACCACTTAGTGCTTAAGAGTAAGTTTGCCAAAGGTTTAAGCTTTATCATTTTGATTTCGGGTTTCATGTGTAGCTTTCCATTTATGTGTTAGAGTGTGTCTTTGTGTTGTAATTGGTTTTGGGTGAGATTGTGAATTCTCTTAAATTCACGTTTGAGTGTATGAGTTTGAATTCTCTAAAATTCAAGTGGTAGTCAGTCACCCCGAGTGTGTCTTGGGTTGCACAGTGGAAAAAGGAACCTGAGTGTGTCTTAGGTCGAGAAAGGAACCTGAGTGTGTCTTGGGTCGGATAAGGTGCCTGAGTTTGTCTTAGGTCTGATAGGATAGGTTTTTATCAATTAACAAGTGTCTTAGGAGGAACTTACGAAGCAAAGGTCTGTGTAATAGGTTGTACTAGGAGAGTTGCCTATTATAGTGGAATTTGTTTATAAGTCCCAATAGGGCCGAGGTTTTACTTCCAGTTAGGCACTGGATGGTTTCCTGTAAAACTTGCTGTGTGCTTTAAGTTTCTTTATGTTTTTATTGTTTATTTCCGCATAAGTTCCGCGATTGGAACCTACTACCATTCACCCCCCTCTCGTAGTAGTTCATCTAAACTAACACTCCAATAGCTCATGAAATGATCAAAGAAAGGCCCGTAAAGGCTCTTCCCCTCACAGAACTTAGCTTGTCAAAATACTCGTCTATGTCCGAAGGCTGAGCTGCATTGTTGTTGACATTCTTCAACTTCGTGTAATAATGCCAAGATGACACAAACGTGTCAAAGGGATTGCGAGTAACATAGATGATCTTACACTTCGAATTTTTCACTGATTCCGGAAGAGAAGCAGATGGTAGGTGGGTTGAGAATAGCCTTGGCGGTGTTATATTGGTCAAATCGGGTGTTTTATCCTTGGCATAGATCGTGATCTCGAGGCTTAAGATGAGCTCATGCGGGTTATGGGTTCGCAATGGGGTGTTTGAAAGGCGGTTGTCCGACCTCTTTAAGAGAGAGTATAAAAGAGACTTGAACCAAGTTGTGCCGGTTTTTGGCATGTTGATGACAAAGATGTCGGATTCGTGTGCTTCGAAATGATTCTGGAGGGCGATCACCGGCTCCAAGCTAAATTCCGGGCACCAAAAGTTTTGGTATAGACACATTTCATAACCATATTGTAGGAATATGGAATTCTCCCTCAGGAGGCTTGCATTGCTATTTACAATATATATATAGGGTACAATACAAAACCTACTTTACATAAACAGACTAAGCTAAATATAGACACTATTAATTACATAAATATTGTCTAACACGCCCCCTCAGTTGGAGCGGGAGGAGGACGAATGCTCAAACTGGAACGAAAGTCCACAAACAACGGTGTAGGAAGCCCCTTAGTGAAGATATCAGCGTACTGAAAAGAAGAAGGCACATGTAGAACACGAATGTGACCAAGGGCAACCTTTTCTCGAACAAAGTGAATGTCTAGCTCTACATGCTAAGTACGTTGATGATGAACCGGGTTGTGAGACATATACACCGCACTAATGTTATCACAATAAACAACCGTGGCTTTGCGTAAAGGACAATGCAACTCCAACAACAAATTGCGTAACCAAGTAGTTTCAGCCACCATATTGGCCACCCCTCTATACTCGGCCTCAGCACTCGATTTCGATAAAGTGGCTTGTCGCTTAGATGACCAAGAAATAAGGTCATCCCCAAGAAACACACAATAACCAGACTTAGACCGTCGAGTATCCGGGCAACCGCCCCAATCAGCATCAGAATAGGAGACCAAACCAGAAGCAGGAGTAGAAGAGAGATGCATCCCAAAGTCAAGAGTACCTTTGAGATACCGGAGGACACGCTTCAAAGCATGTAGGTGAGGATCACGGGGATCATGCATGAATAAACATAGTTGCTGAACCGCGTAGGAAAGATCAGGTCTAGTGAAGGTAAGATATTGCAGTGCGCCGGCAAGCTGACGATAAGAGGTCGGGTCATCAACAGGATTGCCACTACGAGCACTAAGTTTGGACTTAGTATCGACGGGAGTGTTAGCCGGCTTGCAAGAAGACATATTGGCACGTGCCAAAATTTCTTGAGCATATTTTCGTTGACAAAGAAACATACGGTCCTTCGAACGAGAAACAGAAATGCCAAGAAAATAAGAAAGAGGACCAAGGTCCTTCATGGCAAACTCAGAGCTTAGGAGAGCAATAATACGTTGCCGAAGACTAGAGGAAGAACATGCCAGAATAATGTCGTCAACATATAAAAGAAGATATGCTGTTTCCGTACCCCGACGGAAAATGAACAGAGAAGTATCACTCTTACTGTTGACAAAACCCATAGAAAGAATGTATGTTGCAAATCTGTGATACCACGCACGGGCCGCCTGTTTGAGGCCATAAATAGCCTTGCGAAGAAGACACACATGTTTAGGCTTGTCATGACGAACAAACCCGGGTGGCTGATGCATATACACAGTTTCCTGCAAGTGGCCATGAAGGAAAGCATTTTTCACGTCCAACTGATGAATTGACCATTGTTGAGAAAATGCTAAGCTAGGAAGCGAGCCTATATAATGATAATGTAAAAAAGAGCTCAACACCGTACGAATCGTAGTTGGTTTCACAACTGGACTGAAAGTCTCACCACAATCAACACCAATTTCTTGACTCTTTCCATTAGCAACCAACCGAGCCTTATGTCGCTCAAATTCCCCATTAGATTTCTCTTTATGTGTAAAGACCCACAAGCACCGAATGACATTCGCATTTGGAGGACGGGGAACTAAATCCCAAGTATGAGTATCAATCATAGCATTATACTCATCACACATTGCATTATACCAGTTAGGGTCATCAAGAGCTTTGACGGGCGAACGAGGTATAGGAGAAACTGTTGGAGTAGACGAAGTGACTAGTGCTAAATTAGCATACTTCGAATTTGGATTGAAAATACCTGACATTGCACGAGTGTGTATAGTACGGGTGGGTTGGGCCGGTTGAGAAGCAATAGGGGAGGGCAGATTTGATGGACTGGGAGGTTGAGTAAGAGAAGGCATTTGTTGAGCCTGGGCCGAAGCTGAAGAATCACAAGTGTGGGTAACTCGTTGAGAAGTAGTAGCTGATTGATTAGACCTACTACTCCCCAATGGGCTATTATGCCCAACACTTGCTAATGGAGAAATAGGAGTGGGCTCAATGATATGGGCCGGCCTAATTTCGTGAATAAGGGGGGGAGGAGTAGTAGACTCACCATCAGAAGACAAACAATCATAATCATTAGGAGAAGGCTTGTGATTTGACGAATTAGGAAAAATGGATTCATCAAAAATGACATGGCGAGAAATTATTACTTTGTTGGTAGAAATATCTAAACACCGATAACCACGATGAAAAATCGGATACCCAAGAAAAATACACGGGGTAGAACGAGGACTCAATTTATGGGAAGAGGTAGCGGAGAGATTAGGATAACAAAGACATCCAAAAGTACGAATATGATCATACGAAGGAGCTTTATTATAGAGTATGTGCACCGGTGTGAGATAATCAAGAAGACGAGTAGGCCGGATATTTAACAAATAAGTGGCAGTGTGCAAGGACTCAACCCAAAAGGATAGAGGGAGAGAAGCATGAAATAATAGAGAACGACAAACATTATTTATAGACCTAATCATACGTTCCGCCTTCCCATTTTGTGGAGACGTATTAGGACACGAATGTCGCCAAATCATGCCATGAGTTTGAGAAAAAATGGTGAAGCTATCATTATCATATTCACGACCATGATCGCATTGTAATGCTTTAATAGACACATTGAATTGAGTTTTGACATACGTATGAAATTGCACAAATGTCGGATAAACCTCAGATTTGGATTTTAGTGGAAAAACCCATAAATAGTGAGAATAGTCATCAAGGAAAAGTAAGTAATACCGAAAACCAGTATGACTATGGATAGGAAAAGTAAATAAATCAGTATGGATTATATCAAAAGGAGTACAAGTCTTAGTAGATGAGACGGGAAAAGGAAGCCGACAATGCTTGCCTAATTGACAGCCATGACAAACAGTGAGGGCATCCCCTTTATTACATTGAATTAATTTTTGATTTCTAAGAAAACTAAGAGCTTGATCACCCGGATTTCCCAATCGATTGTGCCATACTTCAGAGGAAAGAACCGCAAATGCAGTAGAAGGAGATGATGATGAAGAGTTTGGAGAGAGAGGATAAAGGCTGCCAGTACTATTGCACCTCGTCACTATTTTCCCCGTCCGGAGGTCCTTCACAGAAAAACCAAATGGGTCAAATTCAACAGAGACAAAATTATCGGTAGTGAACTGACGGACAGACACTAGATTCTTAATGATACTAGGAGCAAAAAGAATGTGTTTAAGAGTAAGAGGGGGGGAAAGGTTTAGAAAGAGTAGTAGTGCCAGAGCCCTTAACTGGTATTTTAGATCCATCACCCACTAAAATATGCGAATTAAAAGAACGTCAATCAACTACAGAAGAGGGAATACCTGAAGCATTCATAAGATGAGAAGTAGCGCCAGTGTCCATATACCAATTAGGATCTGAAGCTTGAAGATTCTAAGTATTGAAGAAAGCCGGAAGATCAGTAGGTTGATAGGATGAACCAGTAGCAAGGAAGGCAGCATTAGGCTGCCGTGGAGTAGGGCCCAATAGCCCCTGCTGATTCGGAGGGACTGGTGGTTGTTGCTGTCTTGATTGCGCCCTCCATTGCATCGGCATTGAAGGATATGGGCAAGGCGGATAGTATGCAGCCCAAGGGGGAAAATAATATTGTTGCATCTGGTTCTGATTGTGCTGTGAACCCCGAGCAGCACCACCTTTACTGCCTCCTCCTTTGCTGTTCTTCTTTCCACCCTTTGGCTTAGCAGCCCCAGCAGAAGAACGACCACCATTATGCGGTTGTGAAGACGAATGAGAAGCATCAGATGCAGCAAGCAATACCGTGGAAGAAGTAGGCGAGGCAATCTTATTTTTCTCAAGGCTAACGCGATCTAACTCAAGCATAGAACACGCTTTAGAAAAAGAAGGAAGTGGATTCCCCTGTTGAATCAGAGTAGCCACCATGCCGTATTCCGGGGTCAATTTCCCAGCCAATTGAAGAACCAGGCGTTCCTCAAAAATTGGATGACCGATCGCAGCAAGTTGATTAGAGACCGTCTTCAATTGATGACAATAATCAGCAAGAGAAACACAAGACGCCAATGTAATTGAACCAAATTGATTCTCCAGATGCACAACTCGAGTGCCTTTGTTGTCTTGAAAAAGGTTACGTAATGTATCCCAAACCACCTGATCCGTAGCCTTTTCATCAAGAATGCGGTACAAGAACTCGGTTGAAATCGCGCCATAGAGCCATTGAAGGACGACAGCATCAAGTCGCTCCCACAAGTCGTTCTTGATATCCGTAGGTCGGGAAACCTTCGGATCAATATGATCAAGAACATTGTAGACCTTGGCACTGTTGCGGAAGAGTGTAGCCCATGGATTATAAAGCACCTTGTCACCGTCCAAAATAAGAGGCACAAGACTGCGAATGTTAGTGACGGCGAACGCCGGATGATAAGTGTTGACAACAGACGTTTTGACATTGTTATCATCAGTGTTAACATCATCACCCTCACCCATTATAGAAAAGCAAGAATTGAAAAAAGAAGAAGAGAAGAGATCAGGGAAGAACAGAGAAAAAAAAAATTCAGGATCGAAAACAAACGGTGGCTAGAGTTTGCTCTGATACCATGTAGGAATATGGAATTCTCCCTCAGGAGGCTTGCATTTCTATTTACAATATATATATAGGGTACAATACAAAACCTACTTTACATAAACAGACTAAGCTAAATATAGACACTATTAATTACATAAATATTGTCTAACACATATGATTCTTTTGGAAGTAAGTCTTTGAGCTCCATTTTTCCCTACTATGTTATGGAAAAAAAAAGATCAATATATACTAGTAGTATTTGCAAGTTTGTATATAAATCTATGATTAATCTCTTATCATTACATTAATTGTGGCACCAAGATTTACCATTTAAGGAGAAACAAAGAAAGCAAAATTCAACCCTTGTTAAACCAATTTAGACAAGCCTTCATATTAAATCCTTTACACAAGTTCGGAAAATAGAAAATGTAGATGTACTGATTCTTACAAATCAAATCGATAAACAAACAAGGAAGAGGAGGATAAAATTACATACCTATAACTTTTTTTCCCTAGTTGCTTATGGAAGAAAAGAGATGGAGAGATATGACAGAGAGGGACAATAGCCACAAGCTCACAGCTAGATAAGCAAAGGAGTTTGGAGAGAGAAACAAATGTGACAAAAAGAAGAGGGAAACGAGTTTGGATAAAATTCCTGTCATTTTTCATAATTGAAAGTGTTACTGTGTTAGAGGACCAATGCTTGACTTTTGTGTCACGATAGCTTCAATACTCTGTTGTTACTTGTTTGTTTGTTTTTTTTTTTTTTTTTTAGATTATTGAATACTAATTTCATACAAATTTAATATTATTTCCCCTTTCTGATCCCTTGTGGTTTTTTATAATTCTAAAATCTTCAACACAAATATGCCCTTAAAGGCCTTAATTAAAAAAATCGACGAGCATCCCGTGAAAAATTATACATATAAATCAAATAAATATTCAATGAGGATCCATCTGTAATTTTTTTTTTTTTTTTTTTTTTTTGTGAGAAATCCATCTGTAATTTAGTTGTAAAGGATTGACTTGAGCCATATTGCTTTAAAATACATTTAAGTACCAAGTAATGAAAGTGGAAGTGTTGAAACCACGTCTAATTAAACTAATTTACGAAATACATACTTGTATCATATTTATATGCATTATGTAGCTTCAACTCTAGCAACTGGTTAGTGGTTACAGCAATGTTGTTACCCCTATATATATGGCTGTTTCGATCCGATTCAACTCGAGCCATACTAATAATCATACACCACAACAAAATGAGTCAAGTCGTAAAGTGTATGTTCCTAGCCATGGCAATGCTTTTCATGGCTGTCTCAGGCACCCGTCCTTTGGTGGCCAACGAACCTGCAAAACACGATATTCATAGAAAACTTTTTGTTGGTCAGATTTTGGACGCAGTATTTGGTCGTTCTCCACCTGAGGCACCTGCACAAGTAACTGTATCAGTAGATAATCCTAATGCAGATCATTCGGTTTTCGTTATAGGACAACCTGTTGTCGTAGATCCGTAATTCCATATCCTTGTTATTCAGGCAGGAAACCTTAACAGTATTGCTGCCTTGATTATTCGGTTTAATTTGCGATCTTAAATTTATGTCTTATTGTTCATATACCATTGTGTGTTTCTTGTACGGTTGTACGTACAATATTTTCTTTTAACATGATGTGCATGGAGAACACATGTTTTGTAGTATTATAGGTAGGGCTGTCAAAAGCTAACCCGACACGAATTCGACACGAAATAAGCGGGTTTGGGTCAAGTATTCTCGACCCGTTTACATAATTGGGTCGACACGAACCCGACACGAAATTAAACGGGTTAGGTTTGGGTTGAAATTTTCAACCCGAAACCGACACACATAACCCAATTATATAAATGGGTTGAACGACAACCCGCTAACCCGAACCCGATACGCTTAACCTATTACTCCCTCCGTCCCTAAATTACATTCTTGTTTATTTTTATTATGTGAGGAATAAATGCTAGAAATAGGAATATAATTTAGGGATGGAGAGAGTAATTTAGTAGTAAAAAAAAAACAAAAATTTTATTCTAAACTTGTAATTTTGTAAATTGCCTTGGCAACATGTATACATTTAGGTAATTTTTGGCACATAAAATAGATTTCAACTATTGTAAATTAAAATTTGGCTCTTAATTTGGGACAATTCTTATGTATGATTGTGCTAAAGCAACCAACTTTAAATTCCTATAGTACTTTTGCTAAAATTACTAACTTTAAACTCTTGCAGTATCATTAATGCATTAATGATGTATGTCATTTTAATTTTGAAATTGAATATTATAGTTTATTACATACTATATGTCTATATGGGTAAAAGGTTACACGGGTAACCCGTTTAATAAGCGGGTTAGGTTTGGGTCAAGGGTTTTCAACCCATTTAATAAATGGGTTAGGTTTGGGTCAAGGGTTTTTCAACCCGTTTAATATCGACACGAACACGAACACGAACCCGACACGACAAGACTCGTTTGACAGCCCTAATTATAGGCTTATAGCTGCTCACTATCAGCAACTTTGATAAGTGACTATAGCAAATAGTAGCAGCCAAGTTTAAAAGAGAGCCTCAATTCCTCTTGTTGATAAATATAATATAATATTAATTCATTATTAAAGGATTCAAATTGTAGTATTATTATAAAACCTTTGTATGTACGTTTATGGGTAAAAATATGCATTTATTTACAAATTTGTCATTCGAGAAACATATTTTGGTTTATTTATCAATAGAGAAACTTGGAATTTCTCTAGATCTCACTACGTGAAAAAATGAATTTGGCACCGGTTCAAACCCGGCCTAAGGCACCGGTTTGAACCGGTGCCAATGTAGGGGGTGCCAAAAAGGGGTTAAAAAAGGCACCGGTTTAAACCGGTGCCAAAACTTGAAATTGGCCCCGGTTAACTGGTGCCAAAAAGGGGTTTAAAAAAATGTGGAATTGTTTTTGGCACCGGTTAACCGGTGCCAAAAGTTCCAAATATTTTAATTTTAATTTTAATTTTTTTTTATTTTTTTTTATTTTTTTTTAAAGAACATCAAACAATTAAAAATCAACTTAAATTATTTAGAACATCAAAATATAGATCGAATTTCAATCAACATAATCAAATATTTACAATATATAATCAAAACAATTTTACAATATAGATTAATACAGTAGTAGTTCAATTACAACATGTTAAAAAAAATATTACAATATAAATAAAAAAAATAAACTCAATATTCTTGATCTTGATTCTTCCATTTAAGATCTAACTCTAGATACCTGCACCAATTAAAGCAAAAAAAAAAGGATTAATATAATTAAGCTTCCCAAAAAATTAAACACAGAAAAAATTTGAAATCACAAAAAAAATTGAAATCGCCAAAAAAAATAAACCGAAAAATACCCAGAAATCAAAAAACCTAGATAAAAAATACCCAGAAATGGAAATAAATTGAAATCGAAAAAAATATCAAAATTGAAATGGAAATAAATTGAAATCGAAAAAAAACCCAGATAAAAAATATAAATTAAAAAAACCCAGAAATCGAAAATAATTGAACTCGAAAAAAAATTGAAATCGAAAAAATAAGAAAAAATATAATCCAGAAATCGAAAAATAAAAAATCAAAAACGAAAACAAAATATATTAAAATCGAATAAACAAAAATAAAAAAAATCAAAATTGAAATCGGAAAAAAAATAACCAAAAAATCGAAAAAAAAAATCAATATCGAAAACAAAATGTATTAAAATCGAATAAACAAGAAACAAAAATCAAAAAAAAAAAAATCAAAATTGAATTCGGTAACAAAATAACCCAGAAATCGAAAACAAAAAAATCGAATTAAAATCAAGAAATTATACCCTAACCTTGCTCATGCATGTGTTCGTGGTGGATTAAACCAAATTTTTTTTGATGAAACCCATAAAAAATTAAAGAGAAGAGATGGTGGCGGCGGCTTTGCGGTGGTGTTGTTGTTGTTGCGGTGGTGTTGTTGTTGCGGAGATGTTGTTGTTGTTGCGGAGATGTTGTTGTTGTTGTTGCGGAGATGTTGTTGTTGTTGGTGTTGGTGTTGTTGTTGGGAATGAAGGAGAGCTAGAGGAGAGAGAAGGGAGAGTAGAGGAGAAGGGAGAGGCGGAGTGAGAGGAGAGAGGATGTTGACTGTTTTAGGGTTAGGGGTTATATAAGAGGCCGGTTTTTTTTTTAAAATTATTAAAGGCCCGGTTCACAAAGGCACCGGTTCAAACCGGTGGCCTTTATGATTTTGGAACCGGTTTGAAGTGAACCGGTGCCTTTTACTCTGGTTCAGCTTCCCACCAATTTTGTAGGCCATTTTTGGCACCGGTTTGGACTGAACCGGTGCCAATTAGGGGGTGCCTTTTTGATATTTTCTACTAGTGTCTAAATCGTAAAAACTGATTAAGTTTTGGCATAACTAGTGCAAAGAATTGCAGGAATCATGGGAATCTTCCATTCTAGGGTTCAATCTTAAGAGCACTCTCACTCATGGGCATATTTTTGCCCATGAGGAGAATTATGTGAAAAAAAAAGAGTATTTTAGCTCCACACTCAAGGGCCGTAAAAAATATGACCGTGAGGAATTTGACAAATGCCCACAGCTATGGCAAATGGAAAATGCTACAGTAAAGATGGGCCCTCCATATTTTATTAAAAAAAAAAGAAGAAAAACAAAACTTGAAAATATAATTAGATGATGATGATAATGGGTAGGAGAGAGAAAAGGTAGGAGAGAGAGTGGTGTGGGGTTTTATTTTAGCCCATGGGTGTGTGAGAAGTTATAAAAACAAAATGCCCTGGAAGAAAAGTGGGAAAGAGGATGAGAGTGGTCTAAGGGTAGAATCTCCCTATTCTTTCGAATTATCCCCACTCTCATTTGCAAATTCAACCTAGATTGACTTGTAAGACTTGTAAGCAGTTTTGAATAGATGTGATAGTAGCTCTTTTTACCTCCGAATAAATTGTAGGGTTGTATAATGTGCATCATCAAACTTTTGACAAAAAATTGTATAGGGTTTTTGGAAGAAACGTGATAATTATATATATATATATATATATATATATATATATATATATATATATATATATATATATATATATATATTTTGAAACATGGTAGTTTTTTTTCGAAAATGAGAGTGCTAGGGACTACCCGTAATTTATTTGAGAGTGTTAGGGACTACCCGTAATAACACACTATCCGTAATAACATTTATTTCCTCCGTTTCTTTTTAGTTGACATATGTATTTAGTCAAGTCTCAAATAAATTCAACCCCCTAATTCCACATAATTCCAACCCCCTCCTACCAAATTTTGACCACTCTTAAAACCCTAACACCACCTAATTCCGACCCCTCCTTATCCAACACTAAATTCCGACCGTCCCTAGCCCCTCTCAAAATTCCGACCAATCGAGGTGAATAAATTCAGCTATTGGCTGGTTGACATGGAAGATTGAGGAAGATGAGGAGGAAAAGTTAAAAAGGGAGGGCCCTACTAACGGATTCCGTTTCATGAACAAAATCCATTAGTTGGGGGTGAAATCCAAGTTTTGTAAATTTTGTTGGTGGCAAAATAAAACTTTTTTTTTTTTAATGTAAGTGGCAAAAACCAATAAGTCGTTTTTTGGATGCAGTTAAAGTCAAAATTTCCTAATTTTTATTTGTAAAAAAAAATGGTCAAAAATGAAGGAGAAGCCAATTCAAACAAAAGCATAGACACATAGTAGTGTAAGTACAATAATATTTGAGTACCCACATTTAGACAAATTAAAGTGACTTTACAACTATCTAGTCCTGCTATAATGTCATTTTTTGACATCAATAATTCATTTCCCAAAAACCCCAAACAAAAATTAACCAAAAACAAAATTAATCAAAATAGTAGCTGATCTGATCAAGGATGGCCATTGGTGAGGCGTTTCTATCTGCATTTCTGCAGGTGTTGTTTGAGCGAATGCTGTCAACTGGAGGGAGGAAGTTCTTGAAGCTGATTGGAGGAGTTGATCTGCAAAAAACAATCAATAGATGGAAGAGAGATCTTACTAAGTTGGAAGCTCTGCTTGAGGATGCTGAGCTGCAGCAATTTCACAGTAAACATGTCAAGTTATGGCTCAATGATCTCCAAGATTTAGCTTACGACATGGAGGATATCATGGATCATTTCGCAATCGAAGCCCAGCGGTATGAGTTGGAAAAGGCAGAGGAAGATCAAGTTAATGCAGTAGATGATCACTCTCACCATGGGATTCTAGACAATATGGTTTGTGCTGCTACTTTTTTAATTTACTTTTCTCCATTAGACCCTAACAGGGCGTTTGGCACGTGGAAATGGGAATTTGGGGAATTATGGGTGGGAATTTGTTGTTGAGAATTCATGAAAGGGAATAAAAGTCCATAGTTTGGTAATTGTTAGGGATATGTTGATATTTACTAAGAAATTACATCAATGCCCTTACTCATATTTTTCCCCTTCCTTTCGCCCTTCTCATTAATGGCAATTTGGTCTTTTCATACCCTTCTCAATTCCCTTTCCCTATTACCAGCCTCCCAGGTAATAAGATTTTTCCCCTTCCTTTCGCCCTTCTCATTAATGGCAATTTGGTCTTTTCATACTCTTCTCAATTCCCTTTCCCTATTACCAGCCCCCCAAGGTAATAAGAATGTGGGAATTCATTGGGATTTTATTTCCCATTCCCTTAAAATAAACAAGGGAATTAGTCATGTTGGTACATATATTCCCATTCCCATTCCCACCTTCTTAATCCCACTTACGAAACACCCCCTAATTGTCACAATATTAGTTAGATACTACTTCGTCATATATATATATATATATATATATATATACTTAAGCCTTTTAATTTACTTTTCTCTCTAAGACCCTAGATACTACTTCGTCTTATATACTCCCTCCGTTTTTAAATACTTACTTCATTTCTCCATGTGTGGAGTTTTGGGAGAAATTGGAGAAAGTAAATATAGAGGAAGTGGGGTTAGTGGAAGGTAAATTAGATGAGAGAGAGTCTAAAAGTAATAAAATTGGGTACCACTAGTTGAGAAAAATGAATTAAATATTATAAAAGCTTTCCAAATAAAGAGATGGAGCAATTATTTAAAAACGGCCGCAAAAGGAAAGTGGAGCAAGTATTTAAAAACGGAGGGAATATATATGAAATCTTAAGCCTTCTGCCAAGTGTTGTCTTACTTTTATACTTGTTTGTTGTTAGACCTTTATAGATATTGTTTCTTACTTGCATAATAGCTCCCCTCCAAACCAACTTGATGCACTAAGAACTCGTGGTTCGGACTGCCCGCCTTGAAGTATCGGCCGTCACAAGTCCTGACCACCCGTACTCTGTCGCCCAAATAGACGTGAGTGCTCCTTTGATTTAATTGCTCGCTTGTGTTGCTTTGTGCTCACAAGTCTCTCAAGGCTCAAGGCTATTGTTCTTGCCGTCAAAAGGTTAAAGCGCGCCGCACGTTTCGGGGTCCAATATCCCGGACCGTGACAGTTATATATATGTATATGTATTACTTGCAAGTCTGCGACTTGCAACTGATGAAACAAGTTCAACTTTGAGACTAATTAAGATGAGATCTTATAACATTTACTTAACAGTGGACATGATAAGCTAATCCATATGACTATGTTAATTAATATAAGCTTATTGTTGTATTGATTAATATAAGGGGGAGTCTTGTACAAAAAATTATTAAAAAAAAATAACCATGAAGTTTATGTTGTTTTAATTTATATTTATATGAGGGGAAAAAGAAAGTTTCAATAATAACTCTTGAATTCAATTATCAGGTGCAAACCATTTATGCAAGTGGCTCAAGAGCCGCGGGTAGTCTCTCCACCTTGTTCAACCCTATTGATCAAGACATTCAAGACAAGATTGATGACATTTCAGAGCGCTTGCAAGATATACAAGACCAGACCCAGAGTTTAAGCCTCACTGCAGCACACATGTTGCAGCAGCAGACCCTCCAAACAGAAACTATTCGACGCCAAAGAGAATCTGCTTCTTTGGTAGGCAAGGTTTTTGGAAGGGATGACAAGAAAAACAAGATAATTACACTGCTATTGAAAGATGATCAGAGTGCTGAGAATTATGCTGTGATTCCTATTATTGGAACGGGTGGCATTGGGAAGACGACCCTTGCTCAGTATGTATACAACAATGAGCAACTGAACGGTTACTTTGATCTTAAGGCATGGGTGTGTGTCTCAGATGTGTTCGATGTCAAACGTATCACGATAGATATAATTAACTCGGTCACCAAGAGCAGTTTCGACTGTAGCAACTTGGATCAGGCACAAGTGAAGTTGCAGGAAGTGCTAAACAACAAGAAATTTTTGATTGTTCTTGATGATATTTGGAGAGACGAATATGATGATTGGTACAAGCTACAGGAACCTTTCCAATACGGTGCAGAAGGAAGCAAAGTGATAATGACAACCAGAATTGAAAGTATTGCAATGATGATGGTTAACAATCCTACTCAACGCAATATCATCAAGTTACAAAGTTTGTCAAAAGATGATTGTTGGCTTATATTTCAGCAGCATGCAAGAGTAGATTCTGACCTCACCGACTTGCGGGATGTTATTATGGAAAAGATCGATGGATTGCCTTTGGCCGCAAAAGCTCTAGGAGGTCTCCTTAAAAGCATTGCAGACAAAAACCAACACCGGAAGATATTAGAGAGCAAAGTTTGGGGTGAGAAGAGTAGTGTTTTGCCAGTTCTAAGGCTGAGTTACCATCATATGCCATATCATTTGAAGCGTGTCTTTGCTTATTGTTCTGTGTTTCCAAAAGATTATGTGTTCAAAGAGGTGGAAGTTGTCTTACTATAAATGGCTCAAGGCTTCCTGCCAGAAACCCAAACTGAAAGTATGGAAGATATGGGCCACATATACCTCAATGACTTGGTATCAAGGTCATTATTTGGAAAAATTCCGTATGGTGGAGGCGAGTTCATCATGCATAACCTCATCCATGATATGGCTCAATTGGTTGCAGGTGAAGTTTGTTATGTGGCTGATGTCGATGCACTGAGAATGTTACAAGAATTCGCCATTTATTTATCTCTAAGAATTTTCAAACATTGGGAAATGAAATCATGGTTCCTCGATTGCGAACTTTTCTATGCAACTATGATTTGAAATTTGAACATTTAGATCTCTTTAAAAACTTTCATTACATACGCACTCTAAGTTTATATTCGTATGTAATTGAAGTTTTGCCAGAATGTATTGGTGATTTAAAACACTTGTGCTACCTTAGTCTCGAATTCAAAAGCATAAAAGTGTTGCCACAATCTGTCGGGAATCTTTGGAATCTCCAAACATTGTGCTTGATAGGTTGTCACAAAGTTGAGAAGATTCCATATATTGGATTACTTGTTAGACTTCGTCATCTGAACATTGATGACACATCTTTAAAGGAAATGCCGCCTGGAATCGGGAAGTTAATAAATTTGCAGACTTTGCACAAATTTGCTGTGGCAATTGGAGGTGGGTTAAGGGAGTTGGGAAAGTTGAATCAGCTCCATGGAAGATTGTTTATCGTTTCCGGGCTAGAAAATGTGACAGAGGTTGATGACGCAGCGGAAGCCCAATTGTGTAAAAAAGAGAATCTAGATGGGTTGAATTTGAAATGGGGAACTTGTACTGATGAGGTTGATGACAAGACTAGGATAGATGTTGTTGAGAAGTTGCGGCCTCACACTTCCATCAAAAGATGTGAGTTGGATGGGTACATGGGCTCGAGATTCCCAAGTTGGCTGGGAGATTCCTCTTTCACTAACATGGAGGACTTAGAGTTGAAAAAGTGTCATAAATGTGTATGCTTGCCTCCATTGGGGCAACTAAGCTCATTAAAGAGTTTGCTGGTAGAAGATATGGATGGTATTAAAGAGGTAGGTCTTGAATTTTATGGGAATCGCTCAACTCCTTTTCCATCTTTAAAGAGACTTCGTTTGTCTTGTATGAAATCCTAGGAGAAGTGGGTGCACCCATCAGTTAACTACAAGGCATTTTCCATCCTTGAAACCCTTGATATGTATAATTGTCCATCATTGCAAGGCAATCTAACCTCCTCTTTTGCCTTCTCTTACAACGCTGAAAATCGTAGAATTGAAAAATATGGAAAGGCTTACTGGTCAATTGCTCAATTTCACCTCCCTCAGCTTACCAGAGGGTGGTTTACCTAGAAACCTGAGATCCCTTGAAATAAGAGAAGCCAACATACAGCAGGCGGTAACAGAGTGGGAATTGCACCTCTTTCATTCACTTCAAATTCACTTCAAATTCTCCAAGATAGACAAACCAATAAAAGAGTGGGGATTCCACCTTCTTACTTCCCTTCAATGTCTTATACTTATAAATGTAGGCAGCTGTGTTGATACAGTAGTGTACATTAGCTATCCTGACTTTCCCTCTTCCCAACCTGCACTGTATGGATATCAAAAATTGCCCGAAATTGGAATCCTTTGGTGACAATGGCCTTCCTCCACGCAGTTATGTTTACATTAAAGAGTGTGATATGATAGAACAACAATTGACAAGCGATCCCTATGGCCGTATTAAAACAGAGAATGGAAGATTCTCCCTGCCTCCGTAAACCAAGCTCTGCCAATTCAAGTAAGTTTGCTTAAATAATGGTCTCGCGTACATTTTTTATGTTTACATCAACTTACATTTTCATATATCTCACTTCTGACAGCTTGTTGATACAACAATCCTAACAGTCAATGGAACTTTACTTGAGCAAAAGATCATAAACTGGTTAGTATGAATTCCATCTCAGCCAAATTTATGCATTTTAATTTGAAATTTTATAAAAAGACATTTTCTATGGCTAATTACTAAATTCCAGACATTCCTTGCAGTGGCTTAGTCTCTATAAGTTAGGCTGATCTTGAAATTTCAACATACATGCATTTTCTTCAGGCTTGGACATTGTATTGGTTAAGAGATACGGAGTACATTAGTACATTGTATTGTCTTTGTGCCTACTTTTATTTTTGCACTCTCAAACAGATGATTAGTTTAAAGTTATAGGAAGATGTAGAAACATTATGACAATGTTGCTTTTGTTTTCTTTTCCTAATTTTAATAATAGTGGCAAGAGGGAGAACTTGATAAATCAACTAGCTGTATATATTTACATATTTTTCAATTTTCACAACACACTGCAGTTTAACTTCAGTTCGGATTAGAAATTAATGAACATTGTAGTCATACTCATACATACCTTTTCTATGTAACTTGATAGTTTCAAATTTACCTTTTTAGATGTTTCTAATATGAGCTATAAATAATAATATTATTATTTTGTTGGAAAAGTTATAGAATATATGAGCAATGTTCTGATATATTGTAAAATCAGGTACTTGATCTTCAAATGCAACTGTTTGCTCATGCTATGGTGCTAAGAAGCCTAACAGTAGTAATAACAGATACCATTCTAAGGTAATATATTGGAAAAGCTTGCCTTGTTTTCATTTTCAATTTAGGCCATGTTCGGTTTGATGTAAAAGGTTTTCATGGAAAATGAATTTTTCATTTTTTCCCATTTTCCTTTGTTTGGTTTGTTAAGGGGTGGAAAACAATTTTTCCAAGGGTGGAAAATTCCATTCTTAATGATGGAAAACATTTTTCTTCCCAAACAAGGGAAGCCACATTTTCCTCTCTCTTTCTTACCTCCTTTTTTTACTTCCCTCTCATTCATCCTTACATTTCCACTCTTATTTTTTATTTTTCTTGGACTTTTCTTGTACGCAACCAAACAAAGGAAAACTAATTTGCAATTGTGATTTTCTTTGAAAATATGTTTTCCATGAAAACTAATTTTCCATTGAAAATGTTTTACATTAAACCAAACGGGGCCTTAAGGTGTATGTTCGAGTGCTGCTGATGGTGATCTAAAGAATTATGTTACTTGTTTACGGTCTAGATTTTTGGCTGTCTTGTAACTATTCAAGTCTAAGTTCTATTGCTGAAATTATTCATTTGTTCTTTCAATTCTGTACCTCCTCAACTTGAAGTTTGATTATAGTTTTTTTTTTTTTTTTTGGATGAAATCCGTCAATGTATGACCATCTGATGCTATAAAGACTTTAGATTTCCATGTTGCATGTTTGATCATTGTTACCAACTAAAATGCTCTAACTTTACTCCTCTTTAATGTTCCTTTAGAAAATACTATCCTCCAAATAGCAGCTAGCATGAAGCTTCTTTTATATTTGGTAAATACAACATCAAGCATTAATTTCCCTAGGAAATTAATCTAAATATGCCATATTATCAAACCATTTTTTACTGAATTAAACACAAAGCCATTCTATTGATGCTAACCATTAACACAAATTAGCTCTATAAGGGTAGAGTGTCTAATTTACCGTGTTATATAATCATAATCAGTTTATTTTGTAATTGTTTCTATCATGATTGGAAGACCAAGACTAGCTGTTATAATGTCTCTTACTCTTAATCCAATTGAACCAACCTCCTTCAATTTGGGTTTATCAGTATAGATGATGAACTTATGAAATGCTGCGCAATCAACGAGCTTTTGGTGGGTTTTCCCGAGTTAAGTTAGCTTGCCTGACATAGAAAATCCACAGGACCTTGAAAATGTGTCATAGCTTTTAGGTTCTAACTATAGCTTGGTTGGGCAGAGTTCAGCTTCAACGAAGACTCAAAAAAATTGATTTGTTTTTCAATGTGACGAATGTGCCATTTATCTGTTCTCAAGTTTTGGTAGTTCAATAACAACCTGGTTTTCTTCTTTAGACTTGTGTTATTCCAGAGGTATCTCTGATTTAAAAAAAGCTCTTTGCTTATTTATTGTCTTAATTGGTTGATAATTCCAAACTAGTATATTCTGATGTTAATCTTGTAGTCACTCACAGCTTATTAATATTACTCTAATATTACTCTCCTTTTTTGCTCTGTTGATAAAACTTCCTGCTGCTTTTGTTTCCTACCTTTAGCAATCTTGTGAATAATGCTGAACGCCCATTGAAAATTTAGTTTTCATTCATGTACCCAACTTAGTAGTACGTCCCTATATGATGCTTGTTATTCACATACTTGCTACCTAACTATTAGTACTACCTCTGTTACTTTTTAGATGTAACAAAGGGGTATATTTGGTGAGAGATAAAAAAATTCCTTTGTTGCATCTAAAAACTAACGGAGGTAGAATTTGGTTTCATGCATATGATAAAACACATTAACGATCTTGATTTTCTTATGCTGTTAACTGTTGCTAATGACTGCGGTAGAAGCTATACATGAAGGATGAAAATTCAGTGGCATTGAACTATTGTATCGTTTTATCTGTTAGGGAATGAAGGGCAATGGAGTTGATTTTTCTTTTTGGACAATTAATTATGAGTAAATGCTTTCTCATCTGCTTACAGTAAACTTCTGTGAGTATTTATGTTCACTAAATTATATCATGTTTTCCCATATGTTGTAGATAGAATGATTGATTGAGTTAGTGATCTAGCACTTTAGTTATTGACCTAATAGCATTGCACATACCTTCTTATATCAGGTGACAAACATATTGGTTCTACACCCTTTGGCAGAAAGCCTCTCCAAGTTCAGACATTCATTCAAAAAGGGGCTTGGCAAATATTTCCGGCGACAAAACATATTGGTTCAACTATGTGAGTTTTTTTTTTTTTTTTTTTTTTTTTTTTTTTTTTTTTTTTTTGTGTGTGTGTGTGTGGCTTTTTTGTATTTTGTTTGTTTGTTGAATAGTTCCATTAAGTTGAATTTTCAACACAGATTCTAGTTTTTCAGATTCAAAAGTGAATTTACCGTTTATTTGATTTTTATTG